TTCAATTAAACAACGTAAGGGGCTTAAAATCAAAACAGTGAAATTATCAAAGTGGTAATTTCACTGTTTCAAACAGTGAAATTACCAGTTTTATATCACTGATATATTTCTATAAAATAGATAAATACAGAATCCCTAAAGAAAGCCCAACACGGCAAAATTGAAAATGTTGCAGGCTCGGTTTGATTAAGCCTGTTCATGGACGGTACTGGAAAGTGAAAGTTACCGTCCACGCCCCCTAAAAACCACCGAAAAGCATGTAATAGAAACATCTTTTCAATGTATACGAATCTGAAATATCGAATAATTTACAATTTCATTAACAAGGAAATTTTATGGTTATCGCATATTTGAAAGACATGAACTTTAAATATGATAGACATTTATATTTGTCTTCATGTGCTCTCAGTTAACGAAGTGTTAGCATTGTCTCGTTAAAAAAATCTTTATCATCATCATCATCATCATCATCATCATCATCATCATCATCATCATCATTAATATCATCATCATTAATATCATCATCATCATCATCATCATCATCATCATCATCATCATCATCATCATCATCGTCATCGTCATCGTCATCATCATCATCATCATCATCATCATCATCATCATCAATATCATCATCATCATCATCATCATCATCATCATCATTATTATTATTATTATCCATGTGTGATTTTATCTTTATCTGAGAGCTATGTTCTTAAGTTGTGCATAACAGACTTGCGTTTTACTTAATACATTTGTTGACTTGAATACATCTGTTGACTTGAATACATTTTTTGACTTGAATACATTTGTTGACTTGAATACAACTGCTGAATTGAATACAGATGTTGAGTTGAATACATCTGTCGACTTGAATACAGCAGTTGACTTTGTAACGTGCACCGAGCTTATACCTGTATGATACTAAATTTTCCTCTGGCTTCTTTGCCTTATGATTATTTGATTGAAGACCAATGATTTATATTGCTTAATAAATGTGCATGAATTACCAAATTGAATTAAATATATAGATATAATTTTCCTCGAGACTACCTTGTCTTTTAATTGAAAAACGAATAATGATTTCTATACCTATTAAACAATTTATTAAATTAATATCCTTTGAAATACTATTTATATATATATACGTTCCCTCTTTCTCGCTCTATATCTCTACTATTAAAATTATTCTTAATCTTCCTTTATTAATCTTTAATCCTTGCTTTCTTTCTACTTAATATTTCTCAGCCTTATCACAGCGCTATGCACTGTGCAACTAAGAATATAAAAAGTAGGTATAGCATTTAGGATTGTCGACTGTTCAACACGCTGCCAAAACACCAACTCTCAATTTCTCACATTCACCTGCCTTATATATTGGCTCGGGACTGCTTGCGCCCTCTAGTGTCTTCCATATCTTGCAAACGCTTGAATATTACTTCTATTGAATTAACTACTGCTTACCTTCTCAATATGCGTTACTTTTGTATATAATTACATGACTCGGGAACCATCGCCAAAATGAATATAATCTTACCTTTTCTACATTAAATAATATACCTGCAATGTTCTAAGGACTCCAAAATGAAAAGTAAAAGGTAATTAAATCAAGCAACATCATCAAACATATTTGATATCAACTTACGGGTACAATTTATGAGAATTTTCTTCTAAATCAATTTGTTTGGTTGAACACAAATGGCGTTTACTCATTAAGGGGAAGTAACTTTTCGATTTTCGCTACAACTTGAATACGGATGTTGACTTGAATATAGCTTTTGACTTGAATACAGCAGTTGACTTAAATGCAGCTATTGACTTGAATACAGCTATTATTGTTTAAATACAGTTGTTGACTTGAATACAACAGTTAATGTTGACCTGAATACAGCTGGTGACTTCAATACAGCTGTTGACTTCAATACATCTATTGATTTGAATACAGCTGTTGACTTGAATATAGCTGTTGACTTAAATATAGCTGTTGACTTGAATACAGCTATTGACTGCAATACAACTATTATTGACCAAATACAGTTGTTGACTTGAATACAGCTATTGTCTTGAAAACAACTTTTGACTTTAATACGTATGTTGACTTATATTAAGCTTTTGGCTTCAGTACAGCTGTACTTTTAATGCGGTTGTTGACTTGACTATACACCACTGTTGACTTAAATATAGCTTTTGGTTCTATAAAGGTTTTAACATAGATAGGGCCGTTACTTATGGGTTCAATACAGCTTTTGTCTTTAAGAAGGCTGACACAATACTTTTGACACTGAGGTGGCGCAGAGGTGACATGTTTGACATGTTTATGTCGTGCGCACGAGATACTATGTCGTGGCCACGAGTTACTTAGTCGTGGCCACGAGATAATAAAGTGGTGCGCACAAAATGTCACCTTTGTGCCACCGTACCTTTGTGCCACCGTAGTTTTGACATAAGTAGGGCCGTTACTTTTGAGTTCAATAGAGCTTTTGTCTTAAAGAAGGCTGACCCAATACAAATTTTGACATTAAAACAGATTTTGGCTTTAATACATGTGTTAACTTAAATTAAGATTATTATTTTGATATAGTTTGGGACTTTAATACAGCTGTTGACTTGAATACAGATGTCAACTTTGCGGTTGTTGAATTTTATAGAGATGTTGACTTAATACAAATGCTCACTTTATGTAGCTTTAACCTTTTATAAAGTTTTTGATTTTAGTACAGCTATTGAATTTTATTTTTGCTGATTTTATAACAACTGTTGACTTTACAACAGCTGCTATTTTTGATTTTAATAAAGCTTTTAATTTTGTCAATTCTAATTTGGTTTATACAGAAAATTTAAACTTATAAACATTGTACTCTTACTGGAAAAGAAAAAAGTTATACGTTTGGTGAAAAAACTTTAATTATTAAATGTAAGGAAAGAAAGAGAAATGTATACAAAGCAGTAAAATGTTTGATTAAGACCTTAGTAACTTTTAAGTGTATATGTTGGACTTTCGTATTTAATCAAAGGTATAAACACATGTCTTTATTACGTAACACTATAAGTAAATGATGGATATCATTTTACAACGTATTTGCTGAATCTCTATATCAAACATTTTAAGTCTAGATACATACAAGGGAACACCTGCCCCATCTATCTCATATTTTATCTTTCTGCACACAGATGCATGGCTTTTGCAAACAGAAATGCAATTTGTACATAAAATGAATAAAGCCTATTAATGGTAACCGAAACTTACTCCCGGAACAAAATATTTTTGATAAACAGAACATGGTAGAAATGATTTCAAAATGAAAGTAGTCTTCTCTAGTTCAGAGAATTTGTGATAAAGCCTTTTAATCGTATTTCATGGAACGGAAACATTGAAAACATAACTGGTTTAAGTTATTGATCATCGTTATCTGAAATCCTATAGGAGATAAAGAATTCACAGCTAGATGGAGGATATATAGCTGTTTTGATTATCTTACATTAGTGCTTTTATAGTTCGAAATTTTATTTGTGTTGATATAGTTAACATTGTTATAATAAACAAAACTTAACTATATTATTGTGAAATATTTTATAATAATTCGCACGAAATGGCATGAAATGATGTTTATTTATCACTAAGGAATGTCATTAATTTCATAAAAAATCTGTAAAGTGTTACTTAAGTAGATTTTAGTTATTCTCCAAGTTGTCAAGTTAAAACTATAAAGGCAAACATATCATGTCATTAAATTTGTAAAGATGATATATTTTTTACCAACCCCATGTAGTCTGAACGATAATTTCAAAAATGTTGATAATATACTGTTACCTGACAATAAATCATGTATAATTGACAATGAATTTTGAAATTTTATATCGGACAGGACAATTGGATCAAAACATATGAATTAAATGATAAAACAATAAACGTTTTACATTATTTCATACAGAGACAGAAAAAAAATCTACGGTCAAATATTGAGTACATTAAAATGCCTCAAATAATTATGTTTGAAATTATGTTGAATGTGTTTGATGATTTCATAGATAAAGTTTATCAATGTAACGTCCGAAATAATAACAATTCAACAATATGAACTATATCTAATGGAAGTGGTCGCCTAAGATTAAGTTTAATCTTTCTCTCAACTTAGGGATCGTGGGTTCGTGTCCCTATTGGGGTCTCGACCCTTTTCCCTCATATGACATCACTACTTTTAAGTTCATGGACGCAGACTTGAGAGTGGTTCACGTTCATCATAACGTAGCTTGTCTAAAACAAACTTAAATTTGTAAAAAAGCCTCAACATAATTCAACGAACTTACAGGACAGTCATCGTATGTTTAAATTGAAATCAGTACAGTCAATGGTTACGTACCCTGAGATCATTTTACTTAATCATAATTGATAAAGGATGTGTTTATAATTGTATTCTGGTTATAAAAAATAAACAATCAATGTTTCCCGCGCTTTAATATTTCGTTGCTACTGCTGGTACAGGTGATAATTTTTGATGTAAATGTAATTATAATCTGAGCATGTTAAGACATAAAAAAGCGAACCCCCTTTTTTAAAGAATATATACTACATCAACTATTTGCAACTACTGTAACTTTAAAAGGGACTCCACTTATGTTTAGACATGACGGAACTGAATTGTTTTTGATAATTTAATACCATTTAATGTAGGTCTTTACCTTCAATAACTTGTGTGCAAATTTCAGATAATTTGCTCACTCCTTTTTCGAGAATAATCATTTTTTGTGTGAACAATTTCCTTAAAAATGGAAAGCATTTTAACGCCTTTAACTCTAAACCGACTTAGAACGGTATTAGATATCGATTACAATTCAATGTTGACAATTTAATGATGAAAATATTTCTTTATTATCCTTTTCGTACTTCTGGTTTTAATGCCTGCATTGATCTAGAATAAAATTTCAAATTTTATGGTTTTAGGATTTTGGACCTTAATTGAATTCCTGTTAGTTGAATATAAAGTTAAATGTTTCTGTTTCAGGTTCATTAAAGAAAGCACATCAAATCAATAAACGACCTTCCTCTGATGAAATAATGCGCGCATATGCAGAACGACATCTGTTTGTCTGTATTGAACAATGACGTTTTCAGATCAAGGCTAAATATACTCAACACTATTGTTAATACAAATTATATTTAGCAAACATGGGGAATAGTAATTCTGTTCCTGAATGGACATTTGTTGGACGTGAGAAAGACATTAAACATGTTAAGAAACTCTTGCCAGAGAAAAAGTCAATCCTCATTTTTGGATTGCCAAAAATCGGAAAGACGAAATTTACTGAACAAATATATACACAATTAAAGGACAATAAAAAGTGCATTTGGAAGGATTTTGAGTTAGATGATATCGACGACGGAGACGACGTGTATGAATTGTTCATTGAGTTTCTCACGGAAATTGATGCTGTTGAAGAAAAGTCTCGATTTGAAAAGAAATTTTCATCTAAATTTAATGAATGTGGTACTTGTGATAAATGCAAAAGTCCTGGACCAGACTTATGTTCACAGAAGGACAAAATGATAAAGAAAGCAATAGATACTATTATCGCTACGTTGAAAAAAGATGGGAAGGAAATTGTATTATTTTTTGACAATGTTGACAAAGTTATGAATAGCTCATTGAAAGACAATTTCCTTCATTTTTTACGACAATCTGTGAATCAGACAAATTTACGCACAGTCATTGCGTCAGGCATTAAACCAAAACTTACAGCGAAAGGTTTTGAATCATATGAACTAAACCCTTTGAATGATCAAGCTATTCGCAAAATACTTTATGAAATATGCGAGTGTAGTGAACTGTGCCCAGAAAACGATGAGGAAGCTTTACACAAGGTAAAATATTCATCTGAATGTTTGGTTTTTAAGCCGGAGAACGAACCGTATATAGACGTCATTGTGAAATTGTGTGAAGGGCTTCCATTGGCAGCAACCATGTCAGGTAATCACCTCTCTCTCTTTTACATGCAAGCATTTTATTACATTCAATCATATAAAGTTCTATTATTTCCATTGATAATGAACACCAGTCTTTAAATTAAGTATGGCCGGATGAGATTGTGAAATAAGGCATTAAATAATGACTGTTTAATGATTATCATTGACAATATTAGCTGTGCTTGAAAAATGGAAAGACTACAAATAAATGCTAAAGGCCATTAGTTCAATATCTTGAATTAATTTTTTTATAATAAAATGCAATAATTTTAAAACATGTGCATACTGCAGTGCTTATTTCTTATTTATCTGTAAATTTACATCGCACAAACTGTAATTCAACGTGTCACAGATTTAAGAAAATATCCAAAGATTATTAAAATGGTAAATAAAATAAAATAAAATGAAGTAATTGTGTAAATTTGTAAAGATCAAGTCTTTTGAAAGCTATGGAATAATTAAAAATGTAATTTAAACAATCCGACTCAATCTCATATTTTAAATCTTCTGCTTTGCACAGAAATCACTCTTTTGTTCAGATTCTGGTGAACTTTATGTATTTTATATACTTTAGGATTGTTGTTGACAGAGGATAAAGGATTGTTAAAACCAGGAGATTTAGTTGAAATTCTTATATGTATGCGACTGACTGCCCTCAGTCCAGACAATTGCCCTCCGGAAGACAGACTAAGTATGAAATATCACAAATAAAGTTTGTTTATATTTACAGTATAATAATTTTGATTACTGAATATGTGCACATGTAAAAATATCCTCTTGTATGGATTGTAAGACAGAAATAAGCGAGATATTTTCTTACTCCATTCTACTTCCTCATTTTGAATTTATTTAAGAAACCATACAAAATAAGTACAAAAATGAAAGTCGATCGTAAGATTATTGATAATGCAATTCAATGAACAAATTAAACGATATAATGCCAACAACACCATGCTTTTGTAGATATTTATAAACGTTCAATGGAAGAAGTGAAAGGTGTGGTATCATTCTTCAATGCCTTAAATGAGGGACTCGACGGCACAACATTTAGTATAGATACGGCGGTTTCTGTGGCAATTAATGCTCAAGAAGGAATTGGTATGCAAATACGAAGTATTCTAAGTCTTTGATATCAATGGTTTAATGGTATTCTATTTTTGATGTTAAAAATTGAAAGAAAAAACAATATTACTGTCTTTCTAAACATGTAAATATATCTTTGCATATGGAAGTAAAATATCATTCGACAATCGATTACGTTTTATCTGTAAAATACACAAATCACTATTGTGGAACAAATTAATGATACTTCGCTAAAACATACGCATAATGGGGGGGGGAATCATTTCTTTTTTCTATAATATTTAATAAATAAATGATATTGCTCTTTTTCAAATATAGATACAGAGGCAATGGCAAAACTTAAGGTATTGAAGACAGCTTTGGACAGGTCAATACTATCTATAGAGAAGCTTTCAGGACATCATCAGTTAACTTGGCATGGGATGCTGCGAGAATCTCAAGCTGACCTTTTAATTTTAAACACTTTACCACCAGGTGGGCTTTAAATATTTATATAAAACAATGCATGTTACAACTACAAAAGCAAACATTAAGATTAGATATATTGACTAACCTGTACCGATACGTTGGTAATCCTATATAAATAATAAATCATTTTGAAATATAATCTAAGTTAAGTTATATTCATTGCAACCATTAGATTTTATAATTATGTATTTATTACTTTTTTTAAAGATACTGCAAATATAAACAAATGATTAATAAATTATCAATAAACCAATTTAAATAGGATACATTTTCAAAGCAAACGGTTACTGATACTAAAAGTAAGGGTTAAGGTTTGTAATAAAACATACCAAACTGAGGACTGTCTTCGCCATTGAAGTAATACATGTACTTAATAATTCCAACAGATGAGTCAGTTTCAAAAGCGAAAGAAATGGTTCTCAAGTTTATGAAAGAAAATCTTCTCAAGACTGGTCTAGATTTTGATGATGACATACTGCAGGACCCTAAGTCTCTTGAGCTGGCCATCAAAAATCTCTCCATCCACACACCAGGTATTGAAACATTTTTACTAGTAACTGGATATGACCATTTTATCTTTTATAACCTAAACTTTTTCTATTGATAAAAATTTTGAATTAAACTTATCCAAATGATTTTTGGACATTGAATGTTTTACTATCTATTGATATTTATGCAAATTGAAAGACTACTAACGACTAGTAACAATTCAGTTTTCAATAATACAAGCAAATTATGTTTATCTAAATTTAAGATTTTATTTTACCATTTGTTTATCAACATAATTTTTAAAATTGATGGTTACTATCAATTTATGGAGTTATTTTATTATAACCACTTTTGATTCGATCTTATCAATGACGGCATTACCGTATATCGTTCATGAAGAACATGAGCATTAGAATATGTTTTGCGGTAGTAATCATTAGTTTACAATCATTTTGTGACGATAAACCAATTACAAAAAGTGATAATTCATTGTTTTACTTCACATGTTGTTTAAATTTCTGGTCTGCTTTCGAGGGAGCTCCACATATCCAGACTTTTATTACATTGAAACTAATAAAATTTGCCACAACCATTAAAATCTAGATCTTTTAGTACCATTATTAATTGTTCTTGAAATAAACATATCTAATTGTCTAAATGTCTGAAAAAATTCTCTGACAACATACTGACTCAATGAATAAAATGAATAAGATCAATAAGGACTTTACAAATTTAAAAGCCGTGTTAAGATGCTTCCATAAAAAAGGATCTAGTTGTATGGTTGCATGTGCTTTATGACAGTCTGTCTTTTTATCTTGCAATATCATTTTCCAAGTTGTTAGATACGTTATCGGAAGAAATATTTGACCATTATTGAAAACATAAATGGCCATGGATGATGCTTAATTAATAATACTTGTTCTCTAAAATGCAAAGGCTATCCCGTAGTAATAATACAAGTCTCAGACATCTGATAATTTTTTGATGATTTGAATAACATTTTATCACTCCCCTTTTTAGTGCAAGCCCAAGACGTGAAGAGACAGTTATCGCTTTCTGAGGAACATAATGAGGCTAGTAAGGTATGATGTATAAGTTCTTTTAAACAAGTCGCTAAATCAAGACTTGATATTTAATCTAGTTATAGTTATTCTGACATTTTTGGTAATAAAGCGTTAAACTTAAGTATGTATACATACAGGCAAGATAGTTCTATTCCTGGTTCATTACCTTTGTTTAAATAATTCGACGTGGATGTTATTTTCCGTTTCAAAGTAGTTTTTCATTTTGCCTTTCTGCATATTTTATTCTTCTGTGGCAGTTTTGGTTATCTTGGTTTTGTTAGTTTAACATACCATTGTATTGTTGTTATATTTTTCTTTTTTATTGGTAAGAGTTTCTAGTGAGACGACCGTAGGAAGTCTTCGCAAACTCTTACCCATTTAAGTGCAAATTGCCTTTACAACTCGATATCAGATATAAAAAACAGGATGTGTCACCTCTGTAATTAAGCATCACATTGTTTCCCACAAACACACTTTTTTAGATCTACAGATGAATGAGGTCCAGTTACCTAATCTGGCATTACCTACTCGTAGCAATGTTATCAATGTAATTATTGTATTCACATCTTTAGGATTGTTAATGCAGTTCATCCCTGTCATATGAAACAAAATTAAGTTAAGAATAAGTTATTTTTATGTTTTAATATTTGCACAGAACTAAAAATCTTATCAAAGTGTATGTATTTTTGAAGGAGTTTGCGGACGACCTTAAAATTACTGTGGTGAAAGACGTCAAAGACAAAGAAGTTGACATAGATTTAGAAACAAATCCAGACATGGATTCTAAATGTTCAAAGAAGCTAGAATCTCGATATTCAGTTTCAGAAGATAATGAGCTAGAATTCGAAATGAGATACTGTAGAACTTCGGAAAATTCATTGATAAATATTCATAGAGCAAACATATCAGGTACTGAACAAATTGCAGATAATCCTCCCCCCTATACAACTCTTCCATTGGAAACATCAGGAGCATCAGGTTTTAATAAGGAGAATGATATGAATAAACACTTGTTTGAGTCTATTGATTCTCCGCCTCCGAGCTATCATTCGTCTACCGAAGATATCCCAAATAACGAGATGCACCATCAAGATAATAATCGAAATGATCAGTACCACCTGCAAAATATTCCTACCGCTACAATTCGGTCACATTCGTTGTCACAATCTCACAATGTAATGAATGATCTCCAACTTTTACAAGTTGGAAGGGAGGATGCACAGCAAGATATAGATAGCCAGCGATTCAGTAATGGTGTTCGTCGCACCAAGTCAGATCCTACAAGTGATCGTCCTACAGGTCCACCAGCTAAGAAATATAGTCCACCAAATGTCGACAATAATCCACAGATTGTTAATCGTCATAATACTAAAACTGGACTATTTGGCAGTCATACTTCAGAAGTAACATCAACAAATGCGGATGAGCAGATAAAGTATCTCAAAGAACATCAAGAACTTCAAACGCCAGATGAAGTAAGTGCTGGGATCTATGGCGATTCAACTGTAGGGCCAGAGGCTATATCTTATAGGGTCAATACCGTAAATGATCTCAAATTTGATCAGGGACATCGTCAAGATGAAAATGCATCTTTAGCCCAATCATATAATAAGCATGATCAAATGTGTGTTGATGGTGACAGTTCACAGAATGTTAGTCATGAAAATAAAAACAGACTGTTGGTAGAAACTGTATCACAAAGACTTTCTCCTACAGCAATAGTTAAACCTATGCCAAGACGAAATTCTCCTCCAAACATCAATAAACAAACCCTGTCTGAAAGACCAGTTCAGAGCGTGACACCATTCAGATGAATATGCAGGGATTCACGAACATCAATTGTCAATTTGCTGTGAATATTAATTAATAACCATTGTCTTAAAATCGTATACTTAAAAGCATTCCTCTTTCTGTGTATATATTTATATTATTATTCACTGCCATACTTTGTGTGTTATTTTTATACTTTGAATACAATATTTTAATAGAGTAACATATACATGTACAAGAAGTGTCAGTATTATGTAAGTTTTGACGAAACAAGTCATCTTTTAGTTTCAATAGTGCGTCAGGTAGAAAAGTTTTCCTTGTAATCGAGGTTATATACGCATGATTGTACGGTAAGTATTATTAAAGGGCGTGTCTTTCTGGTCTTCCCGGAGTAATCAAATAGTATAGGAAGTAAGCTCAATTTATACAAGAAATTGCCTGGAAGTAGAGTGATCACAGTGAGATGAGGAAATGTTATCATGTAAACTCTTTAGAATATGTTGTTAAATGTTATGCTGTAAAGTTAATGAAATTAAAATTCAAACAACGCACTTTTACAGTATATTCTGATATTTTAAAAATTGCCATAATGTGTCATTGTAGCCACACATTTGTTAAATATTATGGTGAAAATAATGAATTCTTAGTTGTTCATAGGCAAAATGTTTTGTTTGTTGATAGACAACGAGTAATCTTTTTTTACAAGAAATTGTTCAGTCTCAATTCTTACATTCTCCTCATTAGTTAAACTTTATATACTAGTAAGTGTTTTACCTGATGTGATTTTAATTGACGTCATACGTCATATATTACGTCACATGACGTGTAAGCATTTTTTATAAACCGTTCATATATTGTGTATTAAAGCACTCGACTATCCTGTTTGATTGTTGAATAATGTAAATAGTATTGAAATTTTCTATATTTATCCATTTCATGCGTTATACATGATGTATTTATATAACATGACTATATACAAACCTTTAGAATAGTACATTATGTGATATATCCAAAATATTATTTCATTTAATATTTACGTATGTGTGGATGTAAATGTTATATATACTCATATTGAAATCTCATGTAAATAAATTTGTATTCCTATTGTTACCACCGAAGATGTTGAGTGAATAATGATCATGTTTTGCATTTTAAGCAGTTAAACTGGTATGAAGTTGGACTGAACGTTGCGATTTGACAGAAATTTCACTAAAACAATACATAGGTTAGGCAGCTTTGTATGACAAAATTTTATTTATTATTATCACTACTGTGACATTATGTAAATTTTTTACTTTTCACAATTTCTTCTTGCCATTTAATGACAGTGTTCAATTTATAGACTTTTTGTTAGAAATATTTTATGCATATCAACACAATGAAGTAATTGTATATGTGTTTCATTTTTTAAAAGTATTATCATTAGTGACATATTCATTTGTACGTGTTATGTAAATGACAATAACTGCTTTAATGGAAAAAAGAAACAAAAACAAACAACTACTGGTCAGGGACCATCAACCGGACACTTTTTGAACATTTTTCCATACAGATTTCATAATTTCAAACCTAGAGACCTAAAAATTCGAAACAGTACAGCTAGGTTATTCTCCTAACTAACAAACTAGTTTGTTTATTTCTGATTGTATTGACACTTATATCTGAGGCTCGTCAAGGAGGGTATCAAAATTACCTAAATTGTCTACACTACAGTACCATGCGTCCGGACAGATATGTACATGACGTGATTTAATAGATAAAAGCTTGGGTGTTTTAATTTTTGAATATTAACATGATATACAATATTTTAGCAACACATGCTGAAATTTTGGATATTCTATTGTTTACTCTGCAAATGATTATAGCTGGTATATGAGGTCAGGCATGGCTTTCTTGGCGCCCAAATTTCAACGTCAACATTTTTGAAATAGACATTAAAATATAACCATTTACGGAGGTTGAAATGAATTTATTTACTTAATTATAGAAGAAACATGCATTTCTTGTTGATAAAAAAGTGACTGACAACCAATGAAAAAAATAAATACTAAATCAAGCATTTTCGGGGGCGTCTGGGTTTAGTGGTTGTCCGGTTTTGGTGGTCCCGAACCAGTATACAATTTGAACAAAAAAAAGAAAACAACAACAAACCCCCCCCCCCAAAAAAAAAAAACAACAACAAAAAAAACAAACAAAAAACTATTCAACTTGCGGACAATATTTGATTGTTTTGATAATTTGAAATAATGATAGCTTTTGAAATATCTTTTTTGCACTTCACAAATTCATTGATTGTTCATAAATACTACATATATTTACTTTGGTTTTCGCTTTATTGATGCTGTACATGTAGCTTTAAAATGTGTTGTCATTCTATCTTAATTCATCTGAACTATTATAGTTTTATATTGGTTGTATTTCCATGTCAATGTTAACATGACACTGAACAGAGTAATGCTATCTGATCTCAAAGAATTTTATTTCTTCATCTTAGCAGTGAATAAGTTCAGTAACCAAATATGGACATATTCATATTATTTTTATCATTATCTTTTCCATAAAGATACTAGGATAAATGTCATAGAATGACATTATCTGCCCGGTCATTAAACGACTTATTTTAAGTTCTTCAGTTAGTACTATCTGTACTTCCAGGGCGTCTGTGGTCGAGTGGTTATGGTAATTGAATTATAACCACTTGCCCCTCACCAGACTGGGACTTTGTATTCTTTTACTTGTGGAAGCTATCCAGTTAGCTTACGGAACATCGGTGGCTCTACCTAAGGTGCCCTGAAGTAATACACTGAAGGCACGCGAGGTATTCCTTCACCAGTAACCCTGGAAAGTCTGCACATCTTACATGAATAACCATAAATGTGTAAAAATTGTTTTTGTGAAAGTTTATATCCTTATTATATTGTGAGCATTCCAGTCAAAGTATACTAAAAATTACCTTATTTCGTATTACAATTCTTGAAATTCAGCTACACGATATATCTATTTCCTTCAATGTGGAAAATAATATTTCTACATTGTGACAATTGAAATTTACATTTTAAATTCATGCTTCAAGTAATTTGTCATTTTAAAATTCTTTATTTTCTTTTTTTAAAATATATATTCATGTGTGGTCTAAATGTCTATTGATGAAAAATTAAGAGTAACACAATGAAAGAAATTGATGTTAATCGTTGATTCATTTCTTTCAATTTCAAATATGTTTGCCATTTCATTTGTCATGTTCAAGAATGTGAATGTATGTATATGAACTAATATGATTTGCAGAAAAATAGTTGATTGTTTTGACAACTGATATAATAATAGAAACTCTTGAAATGTTTTTGCTACATCTCACCAATTCAATGTTCATAAATACGTTCATATATTTACATGAACTTTGCCTCCTTACGCTTTATTGATGCTGTTCATGAAGCTTCAAAATGGGTTGTCATTCTTGAACAAACTTTTTATACCTTCATATTGGTTATACGTCCATGTCAATTTAAACATAAGGCTTAACAGAGTAATGTTGTATCTGATCTCAAAGAATTTTATTTCTTCATCTTAGCAGTGAAAAAGTTCAGTTACCAAACATGGTCATATTCATTTTATTTTTATTATTATCTTTTCCATAAAGATATTAGGATAAATGTCATAGAATGACATTATCTGCCCGGTCATTAAACAACCTTATTTTAAGTTCTTCAGTAAGTACTATCTATACTTCTAGGGCGTTAATGGTCGGGTGGTTAAGGTCATTGAATTCAAACCACTTGCCCCTCACCAGACAGGGACTTTGCATTATTTTCCTTGTGGATTAGCTATCCATTTAGCTTACGGAGCATAGGTGGTTCTACTCAGGTGCCCTGAAGTAATACATGGAAGGAACCCGAGGTCTTCCATCACCAGTCACCCTGGAAAGTCTGCACATTTTACATGAATAACCATAAACGTGTATAAATCGTTTTTGTCAAAGTTTATATCTTTATGATATTGTGGCCATTCCAGTCAAAGTATACTTTACCTAAAATTACATTACTTCGTATTACAAATTCTTGAAATTCAGCTACCCAATATATCTATTTCATTTAATGTGGAAAAATAATATTTCTACATTGTGACAATTGAAATTTACATTTTAAATTCATCCTTAAAGTAAATTGTCATTTTAAAATACTTTATTTTCTTATAATTAAAATATATATTCATGTGTTGCCTAAATGTCTAATGATGAAAGATTAAAAGTAAAACAATGAAAGAAATTGATGTCAATCGTTGATTCATTTTTCTCAGTTACAAATCTGTTTGCCATTTAATTTGTCATTTTCAAGAATGTGAATGAATTATGTTTATGATCTTATATGAGTTGCAGAAAAATAGTTGACAACTGAAATAATAATAGAAAGATACATATTGCTCTTGAACTGTTTCTTTTTCTGCATCTCACAAATTCATTGATTGTTCATAAATGCGTTCATATATTTACATGTACTTTGCTTTTCGCTTTATTTATGCTGTTCATGTAACTTCAAAATTGGTTGTCATTCTATCTTAATTCAGCTGAACAAAATTTTTTTACCTTCATATTGCTGTACTTCCATGTCAATGTAAATATAAGGCTTAACAGAGTAATGTTGTATCTGATGTCAAAGAATTTTATTTCTTCATCTTAGCAGTGAGTAAGTTCAGTAACCAAACATGGTCATATTCATATTTTTTATCATTATCTTTTCCATAAAAAATACTAGGATAAATGTCAGAGAATCACATTATCTGCCCTGTCATTAAACAACCTAATTGTAAGTTTTCTTCAGAAAGAACTTTCTGTACTTCAAGAGCGTATGCGGTCCAGTGGTTAAGGTCATTGAATTCAAAGCACTTGCCCTTCATCAGTCAGGGACTTTGCATTCTTTTACTTTTACTTTCATCGGTGGTTCTACTTAGGTGCCCTGAGGTAATTCACGGAAGGCACCTGAGGTCTTCCTTCACCAGTAACCATGGAAAATCGCCATATGACCTATGCCGTGTTGGTGCGACGTGTAACCCAACAAAAAGTCTGCACATCTTACATGAATAACCATAAACATCTATAAATCGTTTTTGTCAAAGTTTGTATCCTATTATATTGTGACCATTCCATTCAAAGTATACTTTACCTTAAAATTACCTTATTTCCTATTACAAATTCTTGACATTCAGCTACCCAATATATCTATTTCCTGCCATGTGGAGAAATAATATTTCTACATTGTGACAATTGACATTTACATTTTAAATTCTTGCTTCAAGTAAATTGACATTTTAAAATTCTATATTTTCTTTTTAAAAAAAATATATACATGTATTCATGTGTGGTATAAATGTATAATGATGAAAGATTCAAATTAAAACAATGAAAGAAATATATGTTAATCTTTGATTAATTTGTTTCAGTTTCAAATCTTTTTGCCATTTAATTTGTCATGTTCAAGAATGTTAACAAGTTAAATGTCGATGCTGCACATCAAAGACGTCGCCAAATGATGTGAACAGTCACAGCTAATGTACAAAATCAGAATTGAAAATCGTTCTCTATTACAGCTGAATATCCGAAGCACTGAATTTTTTTTCTCCATGTTCTTGGTATGTGTCTGAAATTCTGAAATGTTTGTCTGTTGCGACAAAGATTGAAACGTCTGGTTGAAGCAAAATAAATTGGATAACAAGTGAAATTGAAATGATTGGTAAACTTAAAATAAACTCAAGACAATATGTGCGTGGTTTAGGCTTTGTAACTTGTAATTTAATAATTCGTGAAGTTATATTGATCATAATTTGTCCTGGTTCCCTCCCCCCAACCCCGTCAACGAAGACTTAATGCTAGCATATTGAATTTGGCGACAATTAAAGGCGGAGACGAACTTCAACAAGAGGCGGAGCAAATGGAGTGAGTGACACTGCTTCAGTCGTTACCTCTCTCAACATTTAAGTTTTAGAACGGTCGACTATAGACTGGCTCATTGGCACGTTATTTATTAGGTAGATAAAATAAGATAATTATAAAAAGAATATGATATTCAAACATGACACTACCACTTCAGTTTAACGTTTATTTTAATCGCTTAAAGCTCCGTTGTACATCAGAAAAGCTATTTTTATAAGAAAATTGGAAAACAATGTGATTTTGTTAAAAAAAATGCACAAAATCAAGTCTAAATTTTCCCCCATTGCAATACGGACAAATGCATATCTATTAGACGGCGCATGCACGCGCCGTCTAGTGAACTATGTAAATGATCTAATATGAGTTGTTGTTTCACAAACCTTTTCCCGAAATGACTTGTCCATCTTTCATTCTGGACATACTAATTCATCATTTTATGGAAACATTTCAAAATATGTACCTTCCGAATAGCGAACAGTGCTGGGTCATTATCAGACGGCACAGATTTATCGGCTCACCTTGGTCTGCGCTGGTCATATAGGAAGATCCTGTAGCCACCAGTAGGATTTGCGTAATATACATATTTAAAACCACGTCAAAGTATTTAAGAGCTAGATATTTTTTTGTTTAATCATGTTTTAGAACGTTATGATGACACAAAAGAATTTACTTTTTATGGGATAAAGATAGTATTTGTGTGTTTGCCTTAAATGAAAATGAAAAGTTATTATTTTTTCTAATACACGTTAAAGAGAGGTATTATCTTAATCATTTTGCTTAAAAATCGAATCAGTTATTTGCCTTAGACATTATTATTAACATCATAGCGGGGTAGTTCTGTTGGTTTGAATCCGTCAAATACTTCAATTATTCACATGAGATAGCTTTCCTGTTTGCCTATAAAAGGATTATTTTTTTTTCTTGTTGGGTAGTCCAAATAATACAAACTATTATGATGCTTATTTTTTGTCTTTTGATAATTGTCTACGATACACCGGCTTTATTATATCTGACCTTCTCTCCTATACTTTATTATTATGTCACCCAAACATTTGGGAGACACTTTGTATCTTTGCTTTTGCCGCTTGTCTGTCCGTTTGTCTGTCTGTCCGTCCGTCCGCGTTAAGCATGACCGCCTTTCAAAGGTCGAATTGCTTACAGTATTTCAACCAAACTTCACAGAAGTGATAACCACCTTCTATACTTGTGCTAACGCCGGCACGTTCCACTTCGCTGCACAATATGACCACTAGAGCTATAAATAGGAAAATCTAGTCTGGCATTTACAGGCGAAAGTGCTGGTGGGTTTTCGTTAAAACATTACAGGAGTAGAGAGGATAATTCCGAACAACCACGTGGCAAGATCTACGTCTGTCTATTCTAGAACATTCTAATTTAGATGGGTGGGGAAGGGGTACATCTACATACTTTCATACATGTTTACATTTAAACACATCGGTTATCTACGTCAGCAGTCTCCTTAGCATGTACGGCTAAATTTATGACAAAATTTATAGGACTTACCTCGATGATATCTTTCGCTTTTAAAGATGACAGGACGACCTTGGAATTGTAAACAACCGGAAGCAAACAATTATTTTCAAATATTTCGCGCCAAAAAACTTTAAAAAACGCAACCTTACTGTTATTTTTACAACCGCATATATATTGTTCGGAAATAGACATCGTTCGGCAAATGACGACCCCGCTCTAATCAGTACCATTTAAGATAAGAATGCAAAATTCAATTTTGCAAAGTTAGGCGTTCTTTGAAACTTATAACATGTATAATGTAAGCTTTATATTTTGTCGACATCTTCAGCATTCAAAATTTATTCGAAAGAATGTTTTTAGTACATCAGAGAGAGAATATATACTGAACATGATTTCATGGCGGAAGGTCAAACAATATGACCACTTTATAGCGGATAGCAAAACTATTTCTGTCCACTCTATATTACTCATTCGAAATAGAATTAAACAATTGTGTTATAAAACATGTATTATGTATCTTATCTAATATTTGCTCAGGTTTGATAAGAGATTAAACCAAACGCAAACTATTCAGGGTATAAACACGACAGGTCATATTTACAGATATGTTATCTGTAAAACAGAAAACTTGTCCATATCTTAAGAGAAGTTATTTATAATACATTTTCTCATTTTAATCGTTTATAAAATGGGAACAGGTACCAGTAAGTTTAGTGGTGATACTCTTGACATAAAGTTTGTAGGGCGTGATGACGAATTGAAAAGCGTAGAACTATTACTGAATCAACAGAAAACAGTAGGAATACACGGGATGAAAAGAATTGGAAAATCAAGATTTCTTACTGAACTATATCGGAGTGAGCGCGATTCCGGAACTCTGTGTATTTTTAAAGATTTTGAAATGGATAATACCTTATCACCATGCCAACTTTATAAATGGTTCCGTGATATGTTTACTCTATCTGGCTGTCATGAGGGATTAGCTGACTTCATCAGTAAATTTTCCGGTGAAAGGATTGCTTGTGGTGCGTGTACAAATTGTCTTCAAGGAAAGCTGTGTCTCCATAGGAGAGAATACATAAACCAAGCGATAAACTGCCTAACAGAAAACCTACACTCATGTAATAAAAAGATAATAATGTTCTTTGACAATATCGATAAGCTTATTGAATCAGATTTGAAAGAATCATTTTCACGTTTAATCGATGATATCAGCAAAAATTGTTCAAATGTAAGCATTGTATTTTGTCCATGCGACATTATCAGCGTTCCAAAATCATTCGAAAGAATATGTCTTGGTCCACTAGAGAAAGTAGATATTTTGCAAATAATTCATCTCATGACTGAAACTCTGAATGAATCTGTGGGCGAATCTACCCAGGGATGGGAACATAAAGAAGATAGTTGCTATAGTGAACATGAAACATCCGCTCATCTATTTGAAAAGGAAAATGAATATTTTACTCCAGGGAATAGAGAATGTATGGAAGAAATAGCGAGCTTGTGTAGCGGTCACCCTGCAGCTGCAATATTAGCAAGTATGATAATAAACTAATCAACTATCCATCCTACCTGACCATTTCGTTAATTTATAGCTTTTTATTATCCCTTTTATCTGAATTAGACAGGAACAAGACATACATGTGTTTAAAGATGCAAATGAAAACATTATATTTTATGGTCGAAAAGATAAAATATATTTTAGTATTAATGAATGAAAAGTCACACTTTTATCAAAAGATAGAGTTTTAACAAATTGATATAATGATAATACATTTAAGGTTCATTACTCACAGAAGATTGTGGGCTTCTAACTCCCGCTGAACTGATAGAGATGATTAAAACGATAAGATCAAAAGTGCATCATCCTGGTGATAGTCTATTAACGGGTAATACCGGTAAGTAATAAGCAATGTGCGTCTTCAGTTATGACCCAGGATACTACTAATTAAAGCTTACTACCTTAAAACGACAAAGAGCGTAAAATAAAAGTGGTTGTAAATAGAAATATGTCGTTTTTTCCCGACCAATTGTTCCACTTTCATTCCATCTTTTTGAAGATAACTGATATCTTCGGCATTTGCAATACTTAAGTCAATTCAGTCATGTTATATCAGGAAGGACGCATACTAATGTTATACTTTACATTATTTAAGGAACAGCTTTGATCGTTACAAGTGGTTGTCATTTTGTTTATTGTTTTTATGAACAAATTCAACCAAATTTGCAATTTATAGTTTATTCATTTTGCTTTCTGTGTATTTGAGTAATATCGAAGCATTATACTAGTAATTATTGCCAACACGCTATGATGAGCATAAGCAATTAACACAAAAACAGTTGTGTGGCGTATAAAAAAAATGACAATCACCTTTGATCACATTTTTTGACAATCAGGCCTAATTTTATTAGGAATTATCATATTTCTACTTTTAAGTGATTGCGATTCACCAATGCATCAATTAGAGCTCATCTACAAAGAAATACTACACAAGGATATTAAACAAGATCACTAAGTGATGTGTGCAATAGAAATTTCATGTGATAACTGCAATGATCATTTTATTCGTTTGATCAAAATATATTTTGACATGGCATCATTTGCACTGAACATTAAGACACGTAGAATGATAACGTTACACTATAAGAGATTTTTTGTTTTCGTAAACAGTTCTTATGTTGGATATGTGATCAATAGTATACTATATTCGTGTAGCGTCATTACTTCATTTGTTGAACTCGTTCAATAAAAAAATGTATAACATGCTTTGCAGTAGAAAATGGAATTATGTTTGATGATGTTATGACGCCGTGAAGAAGACCGCATAACGTTACTCGACAAAACAAGTAAAAATGACTTAAAATCACTAAAAAGCATGAAATACATTGAAAATTTGTTTGTGAACACCAGCTAGTTTATTTCAGACGTGTCCACTCAGTAAATATATTTTGGTCCTACATGTCATGCTCGCCAAAGGATCGCATAATATAATGTTATTACACTTATTAGTATTGAACCTACACTCATTCAATATCCTATATAGAACGCAAGAGAAAATAATATTTACTTTCGTTCTAACATGTTATGAAAAAGAGAATTAAGAAAAATATGTTGAACAACATTTAGCGTAGAAGCAATTTTCCTTTCCCGACGTCACTGTAATATGACGTGTAAACATTCCTTTATATCCTATAATAATACATTGCCCTTTTTGTTGTTAAGGGAATAGTGTGTTATTTTACTTATCACATGCCTAGAAAAAACCCTTTTTTTCCAGTTGAAACAATAGTTTTTTTATTGAGGTACATGTATTAGTGTGACGCTAATATTTACCGGGCTTTACGCCATGTGTGTGTAACGCAAGTGACCTCGCGCCAAAGTACGTGTATGCACGGTCGTGGCATGACATTTTCAAGAAGTCGCAAAAACAGCATGGGTCACACACACAATGCACTAAAAATCATTTGACGACTGACCTTTAACCAGAGATGACGACGATAATTTCATTGCATTTAACTTAATTTTAAAGTTGTCATTATAAGAGTCCTACGTAATTACAAATTCCTGATATTCAAACATGCAATAAATATAGGTAAACATCCAACTGAAGTGTTAATTCATATTTTCAAAACTAAGAGTAAGGACATAAAAGAATTGTGGACACATTAAAAGAATTAGTTTAAAATAATAGAGATGAGCAAACTTTTGATTTGTTTCTTTTCATCTTAGTCACCAAGCCTTGTGTTGGTGGTAAGTACTTATAAGGTATTCTCTTTTTCAGATTAGTCAAACTTCTTATAATAAAATTAAGAAAAAAAAACTAGTAAATATCTTATTTTAGAGGAAATAAATAAAAATAAATTAAAGTGGATGTATTATTTATTACGGACGAAGATGAATATTGGGAACATCTAATTTAGAATTCTAAAGAACAAGCGCTATTGCTTTTAAGCAAAAATAAATGTAGCTTCGTGAATTGTTGAACACTTCCGTATGCAAAGTTATAACTCAGTATTCTGTTAATTATAGTAAATCTATAGAGAAATAGTAATTAACTTGTATATCCTGTCGGCAAACTATAATATATAGCACAGAGATAACGGAATTTCCTTTTTTGTTCACAAGAGCACTTGAAAGCAACACTGTACGAGAGAAAGTTAAAACATTTGTAAAGGGTTACAATTTGAATGAGGATTCAATAAAATAAAGGCTCAGTCAGTCCCAAATGTAATCTGCTGTTTATACAACTAAATCTGAAGTTGAGTTCATACACGGATTACAGGAAACCCTACAGATAGATGTTGATAGTATTTTATATAAAATTGATTGTAATAAAGAAAAAAGTAAGCAGAGAAAATTGAATTTTTAAGAGAGATAAAGTCAAAGGTAATATAAGAGTATCTGGGTTTCCTGAAATCGAATTTGTTGAATCTCCGAAGAGAGAAATAATAAAAAAAGTATTTGGCATCAGATGACATTAATTTGCTAAGCGCACAGGAAACAAAGATGGAATAGTGATTGTGGGGTTACGTTATGATGATGCTAAATTCAAAACTTACAGAGGCGTAATGTTTTACGTTCTCAGTTATGGTCTATTAATCACTGCGGGAAGAGAGGCTACTACATGTGTTATAAAGGCAAATATGTCTGAGGAAATATAGAAATTGACAATTACAATTCAAGTATAGTATAGTGATGTGGTCAAAGCCCTCACAGAGTATTTACATTAAATATAGTTTGTTGGAATATTGACGGTCTAAAATAAAATCATTGACAAAGACTTGATAGAATATTTAAATCAGTTTGATATCTTTTTGAAACATGATTAACTGATGAAATGCCCATGCCTCAAACATTTTCAAAATATGTGTATTATTTTGTCAAAGGTAGTAAAACTGCTCTGTATGGTAGAGCGATGCGTGGAATATTGGGTTATATAAAATGCTCTATCGCAGTATATTTCGCGTATTTTGTCAGAGTGTGATTTTGATATATTTTATTTTACTTTTTAAGTAAACACATTTTGTCTTCACATAAAGAATCTGTTCTTCCTTTTATGTATGTGCCTCACATTATTATTTAGATAAGTTTAACAAAAAGATGGGCCACCCAATGAGAAAATTCTTTGTGACCTCAAGACAAACTTTTCGGTCACAATTTACTTAATTTCTGTAAAAAATATAAAATAAGAAAATGTTATGGAAACTTTTTTGATGATAAGGATATAGGTGAGTTCCCATATATTGGACCCACAAGGAGTAATGTTATTAATTATCTTATTGTCTCTGACAATGTTATACAGTATATTACTTCATTTCAAACTAACCGTCGAGGGGTTAGAGTCGATGACTTCTAATCCAGTTACCTCTCTGGCGTGGGTTTGATCCCCAGGAGATGCTTTGGTAGTTTAGCGCGGAGGAAGGTAGTCTAGTACTGGTGTAACTCTCCAGGAATGATGGTTAGGAAACTACCCGCCTACATGACTGAAATACTGTTGAGAAAAGGTGTACAATGAAACGAACAGACAAAATCATTTCAAACTGGAACATATACTGAATCACCAAATTTTCATTAATATCTAATAGTGGTGTTACTGACAATGTTACAGAAGTTAGATTAAAACAAAATGAACCTAGGGTATATTACAATTTTGATGAGGAAAATACTCAGCATTATCGTGATCAGTTACTTATGAATTACAAATTATAAGTCAATATATGTAGTAGAATTTGTGACACAGAAACAGACATTGAAGAAATTGTAAAAACTTATAATGATTTTATTTTAGACTGTTCTAGTTATTGTATGAGAAAAACTAAAGTGTACCATTCATTGCTAAAAACAAAACAAAATGGTTCTTTAGGGATTCTTTTTTTCTCTATTTTATTGTCACATCAGTGTTATTTGTGCCGAGTGGCGGCCGTAAAAAGTCTCCCCGTACATTTAATCAAAGATGTTATATTTTTGATCATTGAAGATCGTTCAGCACGGCATAATTGTTGTGTATACATGTTATATGGTATTTTTAGTTTCTTCTATTTGGCCTTTTTCAACTTGGTTGGTTACAGTATTCCTACTTGAATACTGTATAATCCCCCTTAAGATATGTTGCCTGCTTTTTAAATTGTCTTTTGACGTCTTATCTGTGATATGCAGGCTTCATAACCTCAAATCCCCTTTCAAAATTCCATTTTATTTAGTTCCGCCCATTGTTTTCTCGTTTAGGGCACACGCATTTTTTTACTTGGGGACCATACGCCGCTTTTCATGGAATGGCACTTACGTGTCACATTGAAGGTTCCATGATAACCGCCGTATGAACACATCTGCGGATGTTTCAAAATTCCAACGAACAGGCTCAATCAAACCGAGCCTGCAACATTTTCAATTTTGCCGTGTAGGGCTTTCTTTAGGGATTCTTTTTTCTCTATTTTGATAATTGTTGAACTAAACAACAACAACAACAACAGCAGCAGCAGCAGCAGCAGCAGCAGCAGCAGCAGCAGCAGCAGCAGCAGCAGCAGCAGCAACAACAACAACAACAACAATGAAAAATAGTTAAATGAATTGATTGAAAAATGCAAAATCCCAAAGTCTTTTGGAGAAAGGTTGAATTTATGAGTTCAAATAGAGAATATGTTCAAAATAGTATTACAACAGATGCATGAAACATCTATTCTATTTTGAAAATTTTTTTAATGGTGATTGTGAAACCATTTCAGGTGATAATGAAATTGTTAATAAGGCTTCTATTGATAATGATATAGCTATTGATAATGATATAGAAGATTCATTTTTATGCAGAAATAACTGATGAAAAAGTTTTGTATGCCATTAAGACGTAGGAAAAGCCCAGGGGCGGATAATGTTATTCCAGAATCTTTCATAACAGGTGTTGATATTCGTTTACTTTTTAAAATATTTTTATTCAAATATATGAAACTGATAAATTTCCAATTTAATAGGAAAAATCAGTTATTGTACCTATCTATAAAAGGGGGATTACAATACACCAAGTAATTATGGAGGTACACCACTTCAAAATGTATTAGGATATTCTTTTATTTGTATCTTAACTAAAAGAATAACCTTTTATGTAAATATAGTTGACAAAACAAGAGAGCCACAAGCAGGGTTTCGTGAGGGTTACTCTACGACTGATTGCTCTACAAGCTATTGTAAATAAAAACTGGAAATAAGATGGCCTTGTGGAGTTTATGAAGTGTTTGGATTTAAAAGAAAACAAAAATAAGCTTTGGGAAATATGTCGACAGAAAAGGGAAGTTGTATTCAGCAATGGTTGGTTTAAATAGTTCTGTACAAGCATGTATTAGACTAAACAATGGTTTAACAGAGTATTTTGACTGTCATATACTAGTAGGTTTAAATCCGAGTTGCAAGGCTTCCCCAATACTTTTTGTCATTTTTATTAAAACATTTGGTAAGGAAATAGAAAAAGGTCAGCTAATGGGTATTCAATTGTTTCCATATGTTACAGAAATATTGGCATTATTATTCGCAGATGATTGCGCTCTGTTTTCAGACACTGTTAATGGCTCCAGACATTGCTTGATTTGTTCAAAAAAAATTCTGTGACGAAAGTCTGTCAAAATTAATCCTAACAAAACTTAAGTTGTGGTTTTTTAAAAGGGAGAAAAATTCAGTACGCATGAAAAGTGTTTTTTTGATGATAACAAATAAGAAACTGTATCAAATTTTCCAACTTCCAAAATATGTATTTTTCGATATATTTGATTAAAAAAAATCAGTCCAATTTTGTTATATGGGTGCCAGATATGATAGATATGCTAGTGAGCAAATATTCTTTCATAATTAGGCATGTAAAAGATATATATGTGTCTTAGTAAAAAAAACAACAAAAACAATTGATATGGTTGTTTGGGAGATTGTGGCAGATACCCAATGTTTATTACAACTTCTTAAAGAGTTATTAAATATTGGTGTTGAATCTTAAAGATGGATGAGCAAAAATATTTTTAAAAAGCATACAATATTATGAAATGTTTTGATAAATATGGCCAAAGAAATTGGGTTACAACACATTCTGGATGGTATATACTTTACATTTATGTTAAAAAAGTTTATTTCTGTCACTTTATATACATTTATACTAGTAGTTATAAATTGTATTTTATCTATATAGTACACTGGCACTACATCATGTCATGCTAGTAATGTAAATGTTTTGTTGATATGGACTGGAGGCCAAAATCAAATTAATCTTTTGTCACATTATTATTGACTTATAAGTGTGTTCTGTATTCTGGTCTTACGGTAAAGATTTTGTTTTGTCTGCATGAGAAATGATTTCAACATGAACAAACCTCTATTTCTTTTATTCTATAAACCTTTTGCTCTTTTAGGTATTTCGAATTGGTACATCTCATAAATTGTGCTCCAAATGAGTGTGGGCACACAGCTATGTTTACAATTTAGCCCTTATTGTTCTGATAATCATTCATTGTTATAATTTGGATATCTGTCATTTGTCAGTACAACATCAAATACAAATGGAACATGTTCTGTCCTATAAATCTAGTATAAAGGTTTATAAATTTAAGAAAAAGTAGTATACACACACTAATATTTGTTGGTACATGTATGTTTTAATTGGCATTGTACTTCTAAACAAGACCTTAATTAAGTAACGCAAGCATATGCAGATTAAACTGCATTGGTCCACAATGGGCACTTTTTCATGAAGTACTTCAAACAGGAAACGTATCATTTGGATATTCTTACAACATATTCCTTGATCAAAAATGTTTATCTAGTTCTATGTGATTTAATATGACATTTATATGATATGTTACAGACATTTTGTTCTAGAGCATTTCATTGTCTGCTATATATCAATAGGCATTGCATCCCAACAACTCCACATATGATTATCTCATGGTTTGTTATTCTATATGATACTTAGTGCCATCAACATAAATATCTATGGTATTGTATACTTTCCATTATAGACTAATTTACTCTAACAAATAATAATCTTTTGTTTAACTGGTAAGTGTTGCCAGTTATTGACACTTTATTTGAAGCTAGATACTTATTCATCACTCAACTGTTAAAGGCCAATTAAGCATTTTTTTATTTATCAAACACTTTTATTTTTTGGTATCTTGTTACAGTTTCCAAAATAAAACATTTGCCGTAGTGATCTTCTTTTGCTCTGTGGGCAATATATAATTTTAGTGAATATATATTTTGCATAAAAGTCAAATTACTACTTTGTGTACAATATTCTACCTACAACACATTACTTCACATTCAGTGCTGTTTAACGTTGTAAATAAGCAGGTATATGCATGTAGTTATTTTTAAAGTTTTGAAAAAAAAACACCCGTTTAAGCCTATAAATAGATCTGATATCATTATTTTCATATCACAAATGAGATTAAAGTGACGAGGAAAAATGTTATAGGTTAACATTGGATTAAAGTTCAGCTGACACCTTTTTGATATGTGACATATAAATGAGGTACTGATTCTTTTATTTATATGAAATAGTTAATAGTTTACGTATCATTAAACTTGGTTTTACTATTGGAATATCGTTTAGGTTTTTATTATACTCTAATTGATATGTTAAAGCGGAAGCAAAATATTTCTATTTGTTTACATTGTGGGTGACATTCACTGAAATTCAGAATCGGGGTTTCACCTTTCACGCTTTCTTGTGCGGCTTGATATAATATTATTGTGTTCAGGTCTTTCTTGTTCATCTGTACTGTATAGTTTTATCTTATAGCCTCGAAAAACAGAATCAATCAATCAATCAATCAATCAATCAATCAATCAATCAATCTGCGCCTGTAACACTGCCTATTTCGCCGTTGAAGGCGCGTTGTTAAGGATTCCGTGTTTTTCTTGTTTTTGTTTAAAGAATATACCCCGAATTAGACATAGTCCACTCTCCACATGTATGAGGCGGAATAATAGGAAAAAAATGAATAGAAAAGAGTGACACCCTTCATATACGTTCGGCGTGACTTGCTTTTAATAATATGATTCTATTTCAGAGAATGTTATATTGTTTTTTTTTTCATTTTTGAAATATTACAATATTAAGTCAGTCGTTAAAAGTATCAAATATTCATGTATTCTCATTGATTACATACCCGCGCCGATTTTGCGAATTAAAAACGGTATTGCACGGCCGTGCATATATTTTGGGGTGACGTCATATATGACGTCGTATTGAATTTACATTCTAACACTATCGGAAATTTTTCTATATAACAAAGAAGGCCCGAAGCGTGCATTATTCTACAACAATGCACTCGCCGTTCTTATTTTCTCCTTGTGTATTTTCACGTTGAGGGCGCCATTTTGTTTGAAAAATCTGATAAATAAAAACATTTTTTGTCGAATTTTGTAGTGTAAACTATCTAGAATGAAAGAAGATGGTCTAATTAAGAAAATGAATCCGAACACCAATATCTTTTATTCAGGCGTTAACGCTGTACAGACGTTTAAAGTATTGTTTACGTGACGTCACAATGTAGCGCCAAACAGCAAGTGCAAAACAATCAAATCAAGTACGCTATTTTAATATCGCAAACGAGTTAAGTTTAACATTTATTTCACTTTTAATAATTTTTATTTTGCTTGGAAAATTATAGAGTGAAATAAAATAAACAAACAAAGTTTTATCAACGTTTTCAAAATGCGTTATTCTCAAATTTTTTCTATACACGGATAATTTAACGACAGTTTTTTTTCATACCACTGTAACAGCCTTTAAAGAACGTTTCTTTTGGAAACTCTGAGGCGAAAACAAATTCAACCACCAAACATTAAGTCCAACATTATAATAATACTTATATTTTTTCTTGACGTGTTAGAATGGAAATAGATATTAATTCTTTGTGCATTATTGTATAATAATGCACGTTTTTCGTTCAAATGCTATGTAATTAATCACTCAGGCCTATCGGCCTTCGTGATTATATTACTACGCATTTGAACTCAAACCGTGCATTATTCTACAACAATGCACTCAGAATTGATATCTATTTCCTAATTCATTCTTTATTTATGTTACTTTGCATAATGACTATTTGAAAAATATAAAAGAGAATGAAGTGTATTATCTAAGAGGGAATAATTTCGTTTGCTTCGCTTAAAGTTTTTGAAAAATGTCAATATATGACATTCAAAACTACTGCTTCTACTAAAGGGTTCATTAAATATTTTTGTCGCACTGTCGTTTGGTTTGTGAACATTGCTTTATAACAATGCTTGAAAATTGTGACGGGCTTCTTTTCTGTTTTTATTGTTCGAAACAGTTTATATTATTACCCCTCACTTTTTTCGTAATGCTAATTTCCCATAGGCCTCTGGGAGTTATTTCTACTGTTAATGCAAGTGTACCACGTGACTAAGAATTTTGTACTGTTACATAGGTAACAGTATTTTTTAACAGTATAAAATCTGTTCACGTGGTCTATTTTCTAAATAAAATGAAATAAAATGGCGGCCATTTTTTTTTCTAGATTCATTCTTATTTTCGACGTTAAACCCCGATAGGACACCAATTTCTTCTCTTGAGTAACTTTGACAATTATAAAATTTAGTTGTTTGCACCCTGGTGCGCTTTTTGCGAAAAAAATATCTTTTTGTTGAATAGTCAAAAAGTGAACATTCGTTTTCAACGGAAGTAATTGCAATGTAAATAATTGTGTCAAACTGGAACATGCAGACGATTTAAGCTTGCAACAAAGGATAATTTAACAATTTTAATCAGCGAAACGTTACAGATATGATGGACAGACATAGGATATCATCGTTATTTTGGTTATTTTGTCAAAATCCATGCTAAGAATATTCTGGAAACAGAAGGATCAGATTTCACAGATCATAACCGTGTAAATGGGTTAGTATTTTGTTTTCTAAATAAAACCTAGCTTATTCTATGTTTATGATTTGTAGATATCATCACTTGCTTACAAATTAAAAGAAAACTTCTCAAGTAGGCCTAAAGTACACTTAAAACTTAAAAGGTAAAGACAGATTAGTTATTGTTACTCTTGGTTTATTTTTTTTACAGTTAGATTAAGTTGACAATTTCAGATCGACACAGTATTTTTGTTCGGGGTAATAAAATAAATAACACTAACAGTAAAAATATCATCCCTCGTAAAAATACTGGTACCCTCGGCTACGCCTCGGATAACAGTATTTTCATCGGGATGATATTTTTACTGTGAAACAACACATTTACCTATTCTAAAAATAAAAAAAATAATAGAATACAATAGGATACAATGCTGTATATCTTGATAAAATCGAAGTTCTTGATTCTCTCTACTGATGCTGCGTTATACTATTACCTTTTCTTTTTTGTATTGGAAAGGACGTGGTCAAATTGTAAGACAATTCCCAATTAAATCATTTTTCTTTTAATGTAATGAAAATTGCTCTCAAGAAATAAAAACGTATGCATTTGTTCCATAAATAGAGAAAAGGAGAAAACATGCAAATGACTGATTTAAATGCAAATTATAAACCCCGACCAACAAAATTCCATATTGTATTAAACTCAAACTATTATTCAAATTCTTTTCCGCCACTAATTGTTTCTGAATTGAATCAACTCCAAATTAATGTCCTTAAGTATTTCAAAAGTAAGTTGAATTCAAATTCACAACAGATCCTGAAATACTATTATATTGGTTCGAGGGCATTTACATACTTGTATAACTTGCATAAATTTTTATTAGGTTATCATCAATGCACACAATAAAAATACATATAAATTACAATATGAATGTATTGTTTGATTTAATTAACCTGTCAATCAAATATTGAGCACACAATATATTAATCTTCGATAAATGTTCGGTAAATTTCGTGAGATGATAAGTTTGATAAGTTTATTATTCAAATTCCATAAGGCCACATGGTCCGTAAAGATATACAAGCCAACATATACATGTATATTGCAAGACAGTGTACAAAAATAAATTTGCAAACAAGATTTAAACACCAACGGAGAAATTCAACGTTTATTTGCATGTTGAAATATCTCAGTATTAATTATCCAATTTTTGTAATATCTTAAGGTGTACATAATTATGTATGCCGTGTATTCTATAAACTACCAAACTACCCCTGCTCTTCCCTGTCACGAAATAACTATGTAAGTTGTTAGGATATATGAGACCTTAAATACGAGTCATATCCTGATCTTGTCAAAACAAAACATATGCATCCTTGATATTTAGGTAAGAACTTGCATACTGTAAGTATCTGGATCTTATCGAAAACAAAAAACAAGATCAACATATAGCTTTAAGAGAGATATTCTTTAAATGCTCGAAATCTAATGTTCAGTTAACAAAGAAAACAACAATATTATTCTGTAATGTATAGTCGTATGAACGTAACATCGTGACAATTATTATTCGAAAAAAGAGTCGTGGGGTAATTTAGAAAACTTTAACATTTGCTTGTGTGTGTATATATATATATATATATATATATATATATATATATATAATATATATATATATATATATATATATATATATATATATATATATATATATATATATATATATATATATATATATATATATATATATATATATATTATGTAACCATATACATTTACATACAAATTCACATATACTATGACAGTTACACTTATGGATCTACCAGTCTTAATATGAAGCCTAGATGATACTCTAAACTTAGTTACACTACTACAGAATCTTTTCAAATGAATAAATTTAAGATATGGTGGATATTTGCTTATAAAACAATGCTCTGCTTGAATTATCTATCTACACGACGAATTTGTACGAATAAATCTGTTAATCTTTGTTTTACAAAGCATAAAAAAGATTAGAGTTACCCAAACCTTGCATTAAAAAGGCATTATACAAACCTTAATGACATATATAGATGTGTGTACAACAGTTAGTTTTGTAAGGAAACAATTCAAAATCATTTTTCAGTTATGTATAAACTTTCTTCACATATTTATTTCCATTTGTATGTAATATCTTCAACCCAAATTTTACAATATTTTAAAAACGTATTGATTTGAAATATATTTTACATAGTTCTTTGTGAGTAACGTTTTGGCACCAAGAATCCGTATACAAAATTGCATATGAACTCGTACTACACTATTACCTTGAATAAACCCCCAAACTACCATAATTTAAAATAAGCATCATAAGTGTATAAAGTAGTTCTAATCTATGGGAAAGTGAAATTATAACAAATTTACACAAATACTTATATATCCATTTTTAAAATAGCTTTCAATGCTTGTCCAGAAATGTTTTTTTGTGCTTCTGTGAACCACCAATAGTAAATACTTAACCCAAATACGTGGTCGAGGGGTTAGAGTCGATGACTTCTAATCCAGTTACCTTTCTGGCGTGGGTTCGATCCCCGGGAGATGCTTTGGTAGTTTAGCGCGGAGGAAGGTAGTCTAGTACTGGTGTAACTCTCCAGGAACGATGGTTAGGAAACTACCCGCCTATATGACTGAAATACTGTTGGAAAAAGGCGTAAAATGAAACAAACAAACAAACAAACAATTAACCCAAATAAGTGAACTTACGAACAATATCAATGTTACTATCTTTATAATAAAAAAACTAAGTTGTCTGGCAATCTACAGCTTCTTTTAAATATCATTATTTTCGTTTTAACTGTATCCACCTATCACAATAACAAGCCAGGTAATTTAGACCTGTTTAAAAGCATAGAATAAAGAAAGGGAGGCAAACACACCCCTTGGCATACGCCTAGTGTACATTCCTAGCTATTACTTAACCTGTTACAATATTTAATTCTTGATTTGACTGAGTTTTACATTGATCTCATTATATTGAAAATATTACCCCGAATCTCATCCCATAAACGTTAAAACTTGGGAATACAAAAATGTTTTCAACAGTTCCAATACTGGTCCTAAGTCCAGCCTGTGTCTCTACATATACACTATATAAATCTGCCCATTCAGATCACCTGTTATTCAACATACGTGTAAATTGCTAAGTCATGTGATACCCCTAAATTATAAACATTGTTTATACTACCTTTTTATGTAGAGTAATTACGAACCTTCCAACCAACTATTTGGGAAGAACCCGTGTTCAAAATTTTTATTGAATAAACATGTGAAGGGTCACAAGTATTATTTAAGTAAACCATGAATAAAAAACCGTTTAAAAGAATATCTGGACCACCACTCTTTAATAATATCATCTCCGGTTAATTTTATTTAATTCATCAAACATAACGCTAAATTCATTTTTCACATATCTACTAATAAAATACAAAATGACATCATCTGGTTTTTAAAATTTACTTTTTTGGTTGTTGACATATTGTTCAAAAGCACCTTATTGCACATGTGAATGTTTAATACCCGCATTCTTTTTCAACATATACAATACAATTTTGCATGTGTATACCTGGTCTTTTATAATTGCAGTGTTTCCATTTTCTCTTATTCGTATTTGCTTTTTCTTATACATGTATATAATTTATATTGTGACCCTGCATTTCTCTGTACCTTTTAAACATTTTATTAAAAATTATTTTCTTCTCTTTACATTCTTCATTAAACCAACGACTTTGATACATTTATATTTACATTTTGTTTGATATCTTTCTTGAACAATGGAGAAGCAACATCTTCCAATAATTCTGACAAATAACTAACACTTTATCAATTTCCTGAGCATTTCGAGCTAAATTTATATTTTCATAAAAACTGTTTATTTTGTGCAGACAACACACCTTTTATAAAATCATTTAAAGGTCATATGACCATACATATTTGTAATTTACAGATTTTTTAACAATCATACGGTTTGTTAAATTCAAATGAAAAAGATAAAACACAATGATCAGGTAATATGTTTGGGTCCGATACAGCTCGAATTCGCTTTTCCTTTCATTATCTGTTTACATCAATATTGACAAGGTGTATGTTGTATCTATTTTTAGAACCTACCAAATCATCAAACACAGTTGATTACCTGGCGATACGATAAATAAGAAATATCATGAAATGTTTATGATACTAATTTTATTCATGAATAAAATCCAATTCCAAATATATGTAGTTTTTTTCTTAAACTGACTGATGTTTAAGTATTATTTGTTTTAATTAACTATTATTTTACAATTACTGTGCCCATGTATTACCATCGACAATTTAAAGTGCGTTTTAACTTAAAGATCGTGTCAGCTGGCATATAAATTGTACACAATTTAAACACTTAATAATTGGACCAAAAGAGACAGATATAATTTAATATTAATCTCTTATTTTTTTATCATAATATTTAACGTGACTGTTCGTCTATATATTTATGTTTTCATATCTATACACGATTTTCCTTCTTAAAATTAAAAATCATGCGATTCTTCTGCACTATGTTTAACAACAGATATATTTGAGAGCGATTATATAGCCATATACACTTAAATGCTTTTCTATATTACAAAATTAAAATTAAAACATTAAATTCGCTTAAACGTTCTTCTACTACTGCCGTGTCTCTATTTCCAAAGGAGCTGTCATATAGCGATATTAAGAAAACTCGCTTCTAGGATTTTGACTTAAACTGTCACATCTAAAGTAACTTTGTGAACAGGGTCTATTTAACCGAGCTTGCAACATTTTAAAGTTTGTTGTTCGGACGTTCTTTATGGATTCCGTTTTTCTGTCATAAATTCATGTTTAGAACTGTTCATATGTTCTTAGTTTGTTTCTCGTTACATTATCATGTTGTGCAGTGTGTGTCCACAAATTTTTATGCTCATTGAAAATTCTTTCTTGAACATCGTAAAGGATCTGTGATGGTCAACTTTGCAATAACTATTTTCTACATTTTAAACAGTTTCATACATTTTTAGCGCAAATTTGAAGGCACCAGTTTTTTATTTTGAATTTATGCTTGTCGGACACAACAAAAAGCATATGAGAGTTATTCTTATTTTGAAGCCGTAACCAATAATTTAACAATGTCTTCAACTGTCGCCTAACCCATACCATCTATATTTACCGCGTTTTGAGCACACTTACCTACTCCGAGGATGAAACGACAAACTTTATTGCGGACAGCGTTTATCGCTACTCTGTAGTTAACGTTGTACGGCATTCTGCCTATCGCCTTAAATTTTGATATTTAAAGTCCAAGTTCGCGCGTTGCTGATTTCGCTATACAGTTGTATATGTGGTTGTACTACTTTAGTCAGCCAAGTGTTTTACTAGATAAAAATCCCGAATCCCAGGTAACGGTATTAACTAGTACATTCAAAAGATATTTCACCGTATTTAAATATAGTCTTTTCCGCCGTTTTAGAACACGATTATTTTGGTTTTGACTCATTTGTACTCACGCCTGTATCACTTCAAAATCTGAAATAGAATTTATTGTAACTGCCGGGTTTGCCATCGGCGGGTTTATGTTGACATGATTCAGGAAGACGATAAACAAAACCGTTAAACTTGGAAGTAAGGGGTGTGATCACACATGTTTAAGTATCCGGTCGATTAGCCGGTCGATTAGCTCAACTTTGCAATAAGTAAATAAGTATATTTAATAATAATTCATAAAAATTACATGAATTAACTGAATATGTACAGCAAAAGCGATTTCTATCTTCAATATTTAATCGCTTTGCAGATAACATCTATTACTTAATTATGGAAAAGTAGTATAGTATAAACTGAGTGATTGACAAGTATCAGTATTGACAAAATTTTATTTCAGTACCTTTCCTTATATATACGACCGCAGGACTTGTACCAGTACCAGTATGTCTGAACCTAATGCACTTTATATAATATCTCCTAAACTCTTTTGAAAAAGAGCGTGTAGCTCATTTCACCATTCAATGCAAAGAATGGGTCGCCATTTTATCCCTGTTTATTAATTTCAAATGAATACCATTATCACAATCGTATGAATAATCATAACAGATAAAAGTTCCACACACAATATGTCAGACAATCCAGAAAAGTGTGCAAATTATCTAAGGATCGTGAGATTTACCGTAGATGTCGGAACAGATGCTGTTAGGGATTTGCTGTACTACTCTAAGGCTAGAGATAATATTGCTTCTTTTTTCGCTCAAAGGACAATTTCAGACGAGCTTCTACAATTGAAAAGAAAACATATAATTACAAAAGAACAATACGAGAGGATTATTTCTTGTGAAAATGTTGACAACTTTGATCTATCTCTACTTATTACCCTGTTGACAAACATTTTTGCTGTGACGATAGGTCGTCCAGCATGTGGCTGGGATAACCCCGCTGACGAAAATAATACATCCATAGCAGCTGACCTTTTGCGTCTAAAGGATATAAGAAATACTATAATTGGACATAAATCGAGTGCACAAATAAGTTCGGAGGAATACAAAAGCCTTTGGAAAGATCTTGAGAATATTTTCATACGAATAAAGATGGTTGTTTGTGGTAGTGGTGAAAGTGAAAAAAGCATCAGAACAAAATTAGAAGTGTATATATCTAAAGCATTGGAGCCAACAGATGAGATTGAAGAGAGATATGCGAATTTGATCCAGCGCTGGCATGATGAATTTACCACTCTACAAAACGAGGTAATGGTTGAACTTAAGATAAATAATGTTTGTGCAATGTCATTTCTGTTCATAAAACACATTAAGTCAAAACAACATGATCATAACAACCGTGTTGTAGCTGTTCAACGTTGCCTTGTACTTTTTCGAAGTCTTGTAAGATTGTCTTGTTTGTTCGGGAATCATTTATTCAAATTCTTTAAGTGACGAAGATGCAATTCGGTTACTTGCGGAGAAAGTGGTAGAAAGTTTCTAGAAATCCACTTAGATATGACTTAAAAACATTTTTTTAAAATCGGTGATAAATAAAAATGAATAATTAAAAAAAAAAAAAAGCAAACAAAACAACAAATATAGCCGATGGGTATGGAAGTGATAGATGTTGCCATTTAATAATTTGATTAAATTCTCATCAAACCGAGTCTGAGATTTTCATTTTGTTTGCTGTCATTGCTCTTGAGTGATTTTCTCGTTCCAGAATTATTTCTATATCAATAACGGATACAATATTTATTTCTTTGAATGTTACATGTTGATGGGAATGTATATAAATACATTATCGTGTCGTTGATTTTTCGTCGTGTAAAGTGTCCTTTAAAGCTCGACTATTCGTTAAGAATAAGTTGAGCTATACTAGTTACCCGAGCGTCGGCGTAACCACTTATGTTAAGGTTTTTGTAATACCTAAAATATTTAAAAAAAATAAAGAAGGTAATTCTATCAAGGATTTTGACAGTTTTGTAATACCTCAAATATTTTCAAAGCCGATTGACATATGGCTTTGAAACTTTGCACACTTGTTCACCATCATACCATCAACCTGTAGGCAGGAGGAGATATCAACATCAACCATTTTGACAGAATTATGTCACCTTTTCGATTTACAATTTATGTTATATTTACAAGTCAAATATATTCAATGTCCATTGATATATGGCTTTAAAACTTTTGCACACTTGTTAACAATAATTCCGCCAATCTTTAGACAAGAGGAGGTAACTCTTTCAACCATTTTGACAGAATAATGCCCCTTTTTCGACTTAGAATTTACATTAAAGTTTGCATATCACCTCAAATATACTCATATTCCATTGACATATGGCTTTGAAGCAAGTTGAAATTTTATAAACTTTTTGAGAGCATAATAGGACTATCTTCAAGGATATAACTTTTACATGGATTAAAGAAAAAATTTAGCCCTTTTGTTAACTTAGAAACGAGGCTCTTTTACTATCAAGCACTAAGAATAGACGAGCGTGCTATGCAATGACAGCTCTTGTTCTAAACCCATTTATTCACTAAACAAATTCAATTACGCGTTTTCACATTTCGTGTTTCTACATGTAGACTGTTTTCAATCGAACGAAATGAAAGAGATCGATTTATTTCTTATTCTACAGATATACAATAGTTAAAATTATAAAGATTTTAAATGTATCGAAATGCTAATTTGAATAAATGTATTGAACATCTTATGTTTCAGAAAAGTGCTAAAATAATTTGCAAATTAACAAACCTATCCAATGAACCTAAAGTACAGAAATCAATAGAAAACTACTTCAATAAAAAACATCGATATGAAAATTTCTTTCTTTTAAATTACAGGTTGAACGCTTGTGTGAAAGAACAACAGGTAAGCACAGATATTGTACCATTCACTTTTAAATACATTTATGAATAATTGTTATTATACCTAATAGGAGATTTCTCGTTTGTCATTAATGTTTCAGTAAGTTCTCTTTGAACTTAGAAGTTTGCTTTAAAAATGTTACTCTATAGCTTGACTATCAGAGGAATTAGGGGGGGGGGGATATAGTAATCACTCAGGTGTTGGTGTCAGCACCACACACACTGAGGTTATGATTTTGCATGCAACTTTATACATGTGTATCTCCAAACATGAATTAGCATCTTCAACTAAATTCTCTTCTTCTTTTTGGTAATCAACCATTGAAAACATTTATTTTTTACAAAATTGATTATAGAACATAGGTTATTAACATGACACAACATATAATACCAAATAACTAATAGAAATACTAGTCAAAGTCAAATTCAAAAATGTTCGGTTTAAAACTTTCATGCCTGATAAGCAAAACAAGGACCTGTATGATGTGTTTTTTTTTTAAATAGAGGTTCCGTTCTATATACATTTATTGTTAAATGTGTCGCCAGACGGTTAGACTAATACGACCTACTACTCAATATAACTTATTCACAAATGCATGTTTATGTCGGGATATAATTGGACTTCAAAAAAAAAAAAAAAAAAAAAAAAAAAAAAAAAAAAAAAAAAAAAAATAAAAAAAAATAATACTATGACACTTTTAGGAAGCACGTATATATTTAAAGAGCTTCACTAAAGTCTAAAAGTCTTAAAACAAAGTTTTATTTTCTTGCATAGATCAACTAGATAATTTGAATTGGAAAGATATTGAAAAAGATTATAAAGAATCGAACTTCTTATTCTTGGAATAGACTCATAAATTTTAAAAATATGTTTCCAGCATCCGTATTTATTTTCTTATTAATAGTCTAATTCTTAATTAACAACTCACATCTTAAAACTCAACAATACAATAATATTTATTCTGCCTTACTTCACATGTATCAAGCCACATGTTTTAGGTAATTTGACAATGAGTTTTATGTATTTCATGCACAAATTAAACACATTTTGAGGGGAATTATAAAAGTAACTACTGATTTAAATAATTACTGTCTGATAAACTATGTAAACCTAAACAAAATGATATACAATACTTATTGAATAACACTTAACTGTAAAATGACTGTGTATTTTAAAAATGCATGAATTATTTAAACATGTAATTTAGTACCATAATAAAGAAATAAATTTGTAAAATATTTTACTACCATAATTATTTAAGTCTAAAATGAAGAGCTATAAAAGATATAAAAGTCATTCCTGCCAAACATTTATAACAAATGTAAAAATTGTATGCTAATATCGATTTAAGTACTTAATCTGAGCGATTTTTCGAGCATTTATTTAGTCATTGTAAGTTTTTAGTCACTTGATTACTCGCAGTGTAATGATTGTAAAGGTATTTGCTTTTTTGATATATCTGACGTGATGTATTTATGCCACCGCAATCTGCAATGCGGTAGCATATAACTTGACTCTCTCTGTGTGTGTGTGTGTGTGTGTGTGTGTGTGTGTGTGTGTGTGTTTGTGTGTGTTGGTGTGTTCGTGCGCGTGAATGTGTATGTGTATTCTTCTTAAAAAACCAGGATTGTTCCTTTGATAACTAGCTTCCGAAGTTGTTCAAAGAATTTGATTCCATGTCGAAATCCGGTTTCAATGGCAACAGAAATGAATTATAGAAAAAATTATAAAAAGATCCCTTCTTGTACTGAAATGCCTAGACCATAAAAAATATGGCTTGATACATGTGTAGTAAGGCAGAATAAATATTATTTTATTGTTGAATTTTAAGGTGTGAGTTGTTAATTACATGCACAAAGCATTGTCTAGTATACCTTTACAAAGATTGTTCAAATTATAACCCTGGGAAAAATTTGCCCGCTCAGGGGTATTATGTTATCCTTATATGTCTATAGTTAAAAATTTTAAAAGTATTTTTCTTCAAAAACTACAAGGGATAGAGCTAAGATATTAAGCATGAGATCATGACCAGGAAGTGAGCTTTTTGCTTTCAAGAAATAAATGAAATGATTTGGGCACATAATGATAACATTATGATTCACACCGTGTGTACTTTTGATTCTTTTGTAAAGGAAGGTAATATAAATTAGTTTAAATATAATACATTGCCTTTTATGAAGGTTTTAAATTATAAATGTTTTTCATGCTTTCAGAAATAGGTAAAGCTTAACTGAAAAGTTTTTACGAAAAATAATTATAATTATATTTTTTTAGTTTGATACAACTATGTTAATCTCAAAATCTTTGTATTTTAAACATTTAGTTTGAATAAATTTTTATACTATGGTCTTTGTACACATCTCAAATTGACCCATTTAATTCACTATACAGTACTGCATTATGGCAACGTCCAATTGTATAGAAACAAAACCTCTTCTGTTTCAATATTTAGTGTTGCAATAATGCATAATGGCATAACATTTTCCACAAATGCAATCTTGTTGTGAGGTCATTATGTTTTAGTAAAGCTGTACATGTTTGAATTCTGGGATTTTTGTACATATTTTAGAATATTACCACTATACTGACAAAATTTTGTTGGAATTTGTTTGAATATCTTTCGAACTTAATGGATAATGAGAGCAAATAAAACAAAAACAGGTCTCAATGGAAAAAGGGAGTATTAGTAGTGATGAATATGTCGAATTGAGTAAGAATATGTCGAACTGAGTAAGAACATGTCGAATTGAGTAAGGCGTTTAGAAGAGAGACACGTCTAGTAACTCAGTAACGATCTAGGTGACATTATTTTTGAAACGAATTTCGTCTTATTTGATATATCTTCAGTTTTTGCAGAGCGGGATATAGATAAATTGGCAATGGCTCAGAATACGATCTTCCTAAGTACAGAGACGATAGTAGTATTCAATAATGACATCATGGCGTTTCTGATAAACTTTGAAATATTGTTAGTATTGAAACGCGCCTTAATAAATTTGATTTGTTGGACCACAAAGTCAGACATTTTGACAAATACATTAAAACTTTGTTCACACATATCCGCGATTATAAGAAAGCCACCACTGATATTTTACACAGATAAGACGATCGTGTGGAAAGAGAAGAATTTATCAGTGCTCAGTATCACCCGCGCATTGAATCCTTAAGGGAAAAAGAATGATGATTCTGAAAGACCAAGTTACCTCCTACTTTGAAAATCTCAATCAATGCACAGCAATCTCATTTTCGAGGGCTTTTAGGAAGATAAAGATGGAAATCTTTATGACTTTATGCGCAAATTCTTTTTCGAAAAGTTGTACAGAGCATTGTTGATGGAAATAGAACGCGTACACAGACTAGGCCAAGCCAAAAGAAATACAAGGAAGCCCCACAAAGATGTCTGACCGTGAATTAGTTAGACGTCAAAACAAGTTTTCAGACAACACAGACTTTTTATTGCACGAGCAATTCCCAGCTGAAATTGTGGCTAGACGCCGTAAACTGTTGCCGAAGTTGAAAGCTGTTATAGAGTATAAGACAGAAATGTGGTTTGTTTACGACACTTTACATAGACGGAGCCCGAGTTAAGTACGAATAGAACTTGTTGGAGAATGGAATTAGTATTGTAGTATGCAATTTTAAAGGTTTAACTGAAACAAAACGTTCTGATAAAGATTTTCTTTCAATTTAACTGTTAATGATAGTTTTGGTTTAAGAAGAACATTGACCGATAAAAATTCAAATAAGTCTATGGAAGGCTATCATTGCTATAATTTATATCGAGGGTTCAAACATAAAAGAGTACGATGTAATAGTGTGGAATTTATATACCGTGAAATGTTATCCATAAAGGGTATCTATTACCTACGTACAGAATTAATTTTGACACTATACGTCGCTACCTAATTTTAATGTCCTTCTTATTTTGTTGTTTATATAAATGGCCGTAAGAATCTCCTGCTGCAATTGATATAGACGCTAACATTTTTGATGTTATAGAACAACATGTTTTTCATTTTGAACAATCGGGTCGAGTATATTTAGCAGGTGATTGGAACTGTGGTATGGGTAATTAACCTGACAATATCGTTTGTGACCCGATCCGGAATTTATGTTCCCGATAATCATCTTGTTAGGGCCTCGCTTGTTACCGGGAGATTGGGCCGGTAAGATATGTCCTGTGGTTTTACCGTTAATAGCCGCGGCGTGCATAGTGTAATTGATTACTTTCTTCTTAAAGAGAACGATTTAAATGCGCTTATTATGTTCGAAATTCGCGCTTTTAAATATGTTTGTGATTATGCTGCTTTGAGATTTGGTATGCGAGCGATTAAACCTTTAACGGAGGATACTTTTAATCATTATGAATCACGCACAATTGAACATTAAACACAGAAAAAGTTTCGGTTCGGCCTTATAACCAAATTACCATATTTTTAGTGCAGACTGCAGTGATTTAAATAGAATAGAATAGATTAGATTACACAGTGAATATGTTTTATTTTTTAGACTACAGCGGTATCCTCCCCTAGTAAGATAGGTAAATTAAGATTACCATATGCAGGATCATGTAATTCATCATTAACATTAAAAGTTTCACACGACACTTTAACATATAGTTGTCGATATATGTGAAAACAATCTGAAGCAAAATTTTTTTTAACCGGTATTATTAGTATATTATTTACATTTGCATTTCATTTATAAATATCAGTTCTTTTAATCATTGCTTTTTCATTCCTTCTTTATAACATTTAAAAGTTCCCCATTTATAGCAAGAATTTTCAGCCTTGTAAAACACGAAACACACTAATATTCTGTGCATAATAATTCACCGTCTTAAAACTAAAACATAGCCTTTGTAAATGCACGTGAGTAACATAGTAGTGGCTGAATAAACACAGGCACAATGTTACTACAACATTACCATCAGCTTACTTTAAATGAAGTCTGGGATTGATCATATTACAAAGATAACTAGGGGTGTACAAGATGAACACACTTATATGAAATATAGCAGAATATGCGACACATAGGAGCCAATCAACAAGGGGCATCAGGATGTCGAAGTCAAAGTACATACGTTTATCATTGACAAGCTACAGATTGCCCAGTAACTAGCCGAGGTCATGGTTATTGATCGTGCACGTAGAAACGGGTATCAAGATTCGGTTCCAACCAGACAGCGTTATCGTATCATCGTCTGAACTTCAAAGACATAAGCATGGTCATGTTTAAGAACTAACGTCTTTGTTAACGAGCAGTTTCCACCTGAAAGTGCTGAAAAGAGATGCAAGATGTTCCCACAACTGCGAACCGCACATTATTTGAGATAAGAGATTGTTGATTTGAAATATTAAACTAAGATATAAGAGATAGGTTTAAGAATATAAATTTTAGTTGTGGCAAGTACATGAAAACGTGATTTCGGAAGAAAAAAACAAGTTAATTAAATTGACTTTATAAAAACGTAGTATTTTTTCACATTTTAACAAAGTTCAGTGTATTTGTTCTAACATTTCAGCTTTTGTTTTCAAAGTAAGCAGGTAAAGATCTTAAGCGAAACAAAACATCATGTTTTGTCGACAATTTAGATGATATGATTTTATTTGAGAGATCTCGATCTCGTATTGGTAAATTCGCGGCATATCTCAGTGTATCTTTTAACATGTTATTTTGTGGCTTCGGTCCTCGGGCCATGTTTGCTAGAAAGTTACGCGGTCTTGGGATAAATTTATCTGCCTTGAGTTGCCTATGAATAAAGGAAATTATTGTAGGTGCGTGGATGATTATTATACCCATCCGCATAGTATATATAGAAGAAACCATACAATGAAAGAATGCAAGTCATTTGTTAATGTGTAGCAAATTACACTCTACTGCGGCTTCAGAGTTTGGCAGATAGTCCTCTTCTCATATTTCAAATATATTTTCAAAATAATAAGATATTTGTGCATATATATCTTATTCAGATACACTCTTCTAAATAAACAACACATTTGTACTCATCAATAAGTGTTGAGTCTGAACCCTGTTCGAATACATGGTAGGCTAGTATGATTGTTTTTTAATACCGCATAAATGTTAATTTCCTTTGTCAATCTTATTGATAAATTTCTAACCTGTTGATTTTCCTTCTTCTTTTAAATACAATTGCTATAGGCGACCTTGTCTTCGGTATTAGGCGATGCGTTTACATCATCCCTAACTTGAAGAATATATTGGTGGAGAATATGCCGCTTAACAGTTACGTCAGACAAAAAGATGCGAATGTTTATGCAATTTTCCAAGATTGAAGAACGGAATTTCGCTTTTTAGAAACTCTATAGGTCAGTGCGTGTTTATTTTTGGCATTACGTTCATCAACCATCTTCTTTAGAGCAGAAAGCCAGATATGTGTTTGAATATTTACAGCTTCTGACTTTAAGAAATAAATCTGAATGAAAAGGACTTTCTAAGTACATTTTTTGCGACCATGTTTTGATATGACTATAAATATTACCATTTAATTTTTAAACTATATTGTAACTCGAACAATTTATCACATGAATAAACTGAAAATCGGTATCTATAGTTTTGAATTGTTATCAAACATGACTTAAGTAACCTGACAATTCTATGCTAATTTTTTTTTCGTTCCTGTCAGAGACCCCTTTGTGACGGGAACTTGTTATTTTCCCTGAAAAAAGTATTTTGTTTCTGTCGTTATTATTTCTGTAACGGTATTCTCGTATAATATGTCCAAATTATTACATTTCCAGCACTTAATCTTTATTTCAAATTATACTATTGGCGATTATTGTTTTTAATTCGTGAAAATTTGACTCGATAAAATATATAAACATATTTTACATTTTCCTAATATCTTTCAGTAACGCAAATTTATTTTAACAACGTATATAATACATCTTGTGATAATCGGTAAAATTATGGTGCCCTTTAATTTCGACATTGAATTATATTCAGATTTACATCTCTCCATTCTGAAATTTTGTTCATCCTCATTGCGCCAAGTTTTAAGGCAGCTATATAACCGTCTGCGGTCATTCTCCTTCATTGGGATACCTTTTATCTCCTCATCATCTCACTCACCAACTCACTCACTTCACTTACTCACTCACTCATCACTCATCACTCACTTCACTCACTCACTACTCATTACTCACTCCATCCACTCAGCTCACTCACTCACTCACTCCACTCAGCTCACTCATCGATGCGTGACTTCATTTACCTTCATCCTATTTTTTTTCTTAGAGTTTTGCTTGTTATCTCTACTGAAATATTCGCGGAGCCTTACTCACGTATGCTGTCCTCATTTTCTTTATGAGGGCAGGATACTTGTATCTTTTGCATGTTTTATAAATTCTCCGCCGAACAACGAAAAACAGGAACCTGAACTTTCGGTATTGCTCAGTAGGTCGACAGGTACTTGCACGTAATGATGAAAAAATGCGAATAAAAGTAATGATTTTGAAACTCATAGTTTAAAATAAATATGATTGTTCGACATGGGGTTCTTTTCACTTTCTAGCAGATCGTAACTTTTATCATCTTTTTTATGTGATGACCTTTCTCAACTCTGAAAATAACGCTTTAGGCATAAACGGGCCAAATTGACAAAACTAGCCAGATCAGTTGCCTTAGCTCACGGTTCAATTGGGATCTGGTGACAAGTTTCTCTAGAATACGCGGACGAGATATTGACTCATAATATTCTTCAGCATTCAACAGACATGAGCAAACACATGAAGAATGTCAATTCTTATCAAGAAACACGAACGGGGACATATTGTAACTGTTTGGTGAAACAAGTACCTTAGGGCAACTTTCTGCAAGACTTGCCTTCCTTCGGAACAGTCTAATTAGAACTTACAAAGTAGAGCTATAACACGCATCTCAGTAGCTGACTCCGAGTGTACATGTATATGTTATTTTCATGATAAAATTACAGAGTTTGCTTTGTTTATCGTTGCATGGAATAGGCAATTAATTTATCTATTCATAATCCTGAACGCGCCATATTTATAACATGGTTGACACCAGTTTTATCCCTAAATTATGCGTTATGATATTGAAGGTGATTCAGGACAAGTGTAGACGGTTTTGTTTGTTTTTTTGTTCCATTTTACACCTTTTCAAAAAAGTATTTCAGTCATATAGGCGTGTAGTTTCCTAACCATCGTTCCTGGAGAGCTACACCAGTACTAGACTACCTTCTTCCGTGCTAAACTACCAAAGCATCTCCCGGGGATCGAACCTACGCCAGAGAGGTAACTAGATTAGAAGTCATCGACTCTAACCCTCGACCATGGAGGCGGTACAAGTGTAGACGGAATATAGTAAACATTACATTATTTATTCAATTATTTGGCCTCTACCGACCAAATATATATACATACCACTAGACGTACTAATTGATTGCGGACTTGGAAACACGTGCAATATTTCCATAATTTATTTTAGATGTAAATCATGCAATGGTGTAGTGTAACATTTACAAACATAATTTTCATATTTATTGCCATCAACTGCAAATAAGAAATAAGATTTTGTAACCAAATAAGTATGTCTGCTTATTCCAGATACGAGCAGAAAACTAAAAGATTCCATAGAAGCGATGAAGAATAAAGGTCTTAAATTTGGAAAAGAGCATGGTAATATTATTATATTATGCATTGAGTTGAATAAAACAACACATGTTTTTGTTAATAAGTTTCCTATATTCCTTTCAAACTATTAATCTATTTCCATAAGCAAGAATCAATACTAAATGTAAATGTAACTTGATGCAAAACAAAAATAAACAAGGAGCCTTGTTTCGTAAACACACTGAATCTGAAATAGATAATAAACAGAACCCAATGTCATATCTACAAAGCTACACATTGTAAACAAATAAAGAAAATGTATCTTACTGAATTAAAATACAATAGTTTAAAATTCATCGCACTATATTTTATATTTCTTTCAAATTTACTAAGGTTTGTAAAAAAGCCTAAAAAGCATTTTTGTTCAATCATTTATTTGTTTTCTTTTAGTTCCTTATCAGTTACAATTTATTTATCATTTTAGTGATTAACCTGAACGTACTCTGTCTTGTGTCCTGTCCTGTTTTTGTTTGGGGTCCGCCTGGGCTCCTTGCCGCTGGCTCTTGTTACTGGGACGTATGGGGGTTACGTTCATTGAGCCCCGCCTTTCCTTGTTGATCTTGTTAATCATATTTTTAATTTACAGAATGTCTTCTTTTGGTCGGACGATCCAGCATAAAATATCTCTCTCAGATGCCTAGGCAGTAAATGAATATCACACCTTGACATCACATTCATTTTCTTAGTTATGATCAGCATTTCTGTCCGTCGCAATTAAGCAATTAATGCAGAATTCAGCAATTTTATAAACATATTGGTTTCTATGTTTTCAGAAATTGATCTTAAAATGATGACAGTTGGGAAATCAGATGAAAATAGAAAGCTGGCTGAAAATATATTATATACAGTCTTCCAAAAGGCTACTAGCATGACTGACGGATGTGACGATTCCCAGACCATGAAAGAGGCCGTGGACAAAATACTTGACAGGATCCGGAATATGGAAGATGTCAAAATAAAATACGTTGAAAAGCATTGCATTATTTTGACATTTAAAAGTTCATCAGCCACCGGTTTCCTTGACCTCATTGATTTTACAAAGAGTGAATATTTCTTCGCAGAGATTGAGAACATAGGCAAGTGCTTAAGTGACCACATTGGCGAATTTATTAGCGTTACTGCATTCATTACTTTAGAAAGTATGCAACAGGCATTAGACATCCTGGGTAGGTTTAGCCGTTTCTTTCTTCTGTATATGGAAGTTAATATTCAGCGTTTTGAAGCTTGAGTATCAAAGATATATTTTGTAGTAAAATCGTCTTACAAGAATTTAGTTTGAACAATATTTTTCATTTGTTTCTGTCGGTTCTATACGTTTGCCCACTATTTTGATTTTTATAGTACATTAATTATGTGAGCGGTGCCTTTATTCAAGATCTTAATTATATCAATATATATGTTAAATCTGTACCCAAGCTTCGTCATAAAATCAATACAGAAAAACACGTCATTGAATCATATAATTTTGTGTCTAGATTGTGTTTTTATGCTCAACAACTGCGTTAAATGATAATTTTATTTTGTTACACGTCAATGGCTCGAATAATTTATCTTACCAGTCTTTTTTGTTAAAGTCAAAATGTATGTATATGCTATAAAGAATAGTTTAATTGTTTTACAGCCAAGAATGACTATGGCGATGGTGAATCATCCACACACCTTAAACTGGTTGTTAGTTCTGCAAATGCAATAGAAAAAGTAAGCAGAATGATTAATGACAATGAAACTGAAAATGATATGAATGATGTTGCTCAAGGCATTTCGGAGCATTTAAATGAACGTATCTCAATTTCGAGATCAATTGAACTCGAGGGTCTAGGTGAGGTGTTTGGAAATCCATTACAATGTTTACTACATTCTGAATGGCAACCATTTGTCAAGTCAGGTTCCAGAACCACACATGTAAAGTTCAACAGTTCTCCTCATCTAGCTTACTTGCAAAGCCTGATAGACGATATTCAACGTCCCACTGAAATTATTTACCGGTCACTCAGTTTGATGATGATTCTGACATGATTCATCATGTCCCTGTTCACAGGGTTTCATCATCACCAACGGTAGCACTACGACGTTTGCAAATGGGACATAGTTCAGATACTTTTGATGCATATGATGATACAAATCCAAACAATTTGTCGAATTTCTATGATCAACCTGTTCCATCTCCTCCATTATATGCAAGTGACACATCGATATCAGGAGATTTCATCGATCATTTACCGGGCACATATTTTAACTGGGATTTTGTCGGAACATGTACTTCCCCTCTGGATAATTCAAGCCGATCAAGTTCCGTTTGTTCGGTTGCTATGTAGATTTCACTGTAATCATATGTTGAGATGCCAATTATTATGATAAATTGCCTTTTTATTTTAAAGTGTCATGTAAAGTTATAATGCAAGGCTATTCTTAGTTTTTTGATATATTTTTACCTACCATGTCATACTGTTTAACACTTAAAGAGTGAACTTTATTACTTCATGTGAGTTTCTTTTTACAAACATAAGAATTTTGTTGACACAATAATTTTTGTTTTGTATAAAAGCACTTTAAATATATTTTGTAATGGTTCCTTTTAATTTTATAATTTTCTTTGCATAAATGATTTATAACTCACGTCATCTGAAGAAAATTTTATTGATATCCATTGGACATTAAATCTATAAAAAGATTAGGACATCTTTTTTTACATTTTAGGCAATCCTATATTTTATCCTAAACATTTCTAATATCAACTGTTGGTCAATCACTATGATAACAGTCAATCTTTTAAAATATATAGTACATTAAGCTCAACTTAAGAAACAACAAACGATCACGATCCTGTAATTTTCTCTTCATTCCAACAGCAGCCAATGAAAAAAAGGTCAAACTGCTGCATTATAGATGACACAGTTATGATGTGAACTTTACTTCGCTTTTCATAAAATGGCACTACTGTAACACATTGAAGTTTCCATGATAACCGCCGTGTGAACACATCTGCAGAAGATTTAAATTCAAAATATCCTCATTTTCGTGATTAAATGTTGAATTCTGCTTAAGCCAGTGCTAGAATGCATGGACGGCACTTTGCACTTTCCAGTAACGTCAATGAACAGGCTCAATGAAACCGAGCCTGCAACTTCTTCAATTTGGCCGTGTTGGTCTTTCTTAAGGGGTTCTGTTATTCGTGTTATTTTATACGACAAATGAAGGTTTACCAAAACCCGTTCGGTGGAAAAATATGTTTACATATTTTCATTTGTTGAATCACGTGATTGTAAAATTTGTAAATAGATGAATATTACCATGCCAGTTTGTAAACAAAATAGAGTCTTACTCCGCTTGTTAAAAAAGACGTGGGTGTTTCGTCCAGCCTCTGAAGAAAGTAAGGATACATTTTTTTGCTCTTAACAGGGTCATTGAAGTATCTTTGAAAATTGACACATGCAGCTGTAAAGTGAAAAAACCATATGTATTGGCGCCGCAAGTTGTGACCTTTGTCAAGTGGAAGTTGACATTTGACAGGTCATATGATATACACGTAAGGTCCATAACAATTCATTTTTTAAAAAAATACATTCTGTTATGTTTATTAACACTAGCATCAAATGACATAGATTTGAAACTCATGAAATATTCATCTTTTCTTTTATTTATTTTATACTTACAAATGAAATATTGAGAATAATTAATGAAATGAATTTCATTTTCCGTATTTTCACTGTAAAACTTTTTTTTTTACAGTTGTGAAAAATATTTTCCGTATTTTCATTGGTGTCTTGCCGGAGTGCTTTCTTGTAACATCTGCCAGTACCAGAAGTTTAGGTGATAGTCTTTCAAATTGTAATGTCAAGAAAGAGACAAATGTAAATAATAAGCAGAAAATTTAAATTTTTGCTATGAATACATGATTTATTTTCATCTAGTGGCATGAAAAAAAACATCACATGTCACTCGTGGTTACCGCCACTCATGAAATATTTATTTTCATACCACTCGATGAATATAATCATGTATTTATAGACAATCTTTATCCTCTATATAGTTTTCAAAGAGGCTTGGTAATAGTTATAGCACACGTAACTCATTACTTACGAGGATGTAAGTGAAAAAGTTGAACCCCCAGATAAAATTTAATGAACTAATACCATCTAATACTGACGTAAGCTTACTTACAAGAAAGTTGTTTGGTGTTTTCGCGGCCGCCAAATAAAACAAAGAAATAGAAAGAAAAAAACAAGATATGTAACCATTGAAAATTTAAAGACGTCAAGTGTAAGAGACGGATTATTAACTGATACCTTGTGGAGAAAGTAATATCGATTCAAGATTTAAGGACTTTTGAAGTGGAAATAATTCATTCAGCGGATGTACCTTTTGATTTTAGCGAATAAATTGTATTTCATTAATGATCTTTGTTTACATTATTCGGAATTTTCGTTACCGATGCCCCATTGGAGTCTCTGTCTAATAAAAACAAAACTGATATATAGCAGGTGCAAAAACAACTCGACCGCTATAAAGCAGTTGAGTTTTTTGTCTATATGAATCAATGAAAACAACTGCACTGCTATATATCAATAAAGTTTTCAAATGCTCATTGAAAGTGTCCTGAGTATAATGGGTTAGTAAGAACAAAGGAAAAGTTCCAAACCATGCGATAAGTAATAGTTAAAGTACATGAAACGAGTTAGTTAACAGGATATAACACTGGCTGGTGCGACATCAAGTGTTGTTTATGCTAGATATGGCAAGGCCGTTAGGCCGAGACAATTTTTTTGCGGAAACATCCCGAGATGTCGCCCAGCCAGTGTTATATACTCGTCTCTAACGAGTTTCATATACTATAACTGTTTTATCGCAATGGCATAATGTTACCTTTTTTGTAATAGAAATAGATAAATAAATAAATTGTAAGCTACATTTCAGTTTTTATATGATAAGGTAGTTCTTCAGGTTGTTTTCGCTACCGCAAAAATAGATAAATACAAAAGACATCCAATGAAATAATTCATTCAGCGGATTTACCTTGATTAAATGAGAGTAACTTTCATTTCATTAATTATCTGATTTAATATTTTTCATTGTATTTATTTATTCATTTTATCTTACTGATTCCATTTTGTTTTGCTTTTGGGAATGTTTGTCACCACTGCCCTATTGGAGCCTCTGTGAAAAAAACTGCATTGATATATACAAGGTGCGAAAAAAAAAACTCAACCGCTATATAATATTTGAGTTTTTTTTCCTGTATGAATCAATGAAAACACTGTACTGCTATATATCTATACAGTTTTCAAATGCTCATTGAAGTGTACTGAGTATAATTGGTTAGTAAGAACAAAGGAAAAGTTCCAAACCATGCGATAAAAGTCAGATCCTGTCCCCAACATGATAAGCCCTTGTAACTATAATTAAATACAAATTGCCTTAAATTTACTTTCAACACTTACCTGGAGTTGTGCATGACATATAAAACAAATTAAGTATAAAATTGTACATTAAAACCTTAAAAAAGTTTGTATTGCCTGCCCAATTGCTTATCTCAATTGAACAGGCTTTAAGTGTCAAGTTTATTTCTGTAAATTAGGATGCTAACTTCATAAGTTAAAAACAAATTGTCAATACACTGCTATGGTAGTGAGTGACCTCACAGCCAAATTTTGTATTCTTGATTTTTTATTTTGTTTTGTGTTTCAAACCTTTATACACTTTATTCAGACCGGTGGTTTTTTATTTGTTGATAAATTGTTGCAAATTGTAATTTTGTATAATATATTGTGAAATCAATTTAAATTATTTAAAAGATATTAAATAAATTTATTGACAATAGTTTTTAGGGCAAATTTGGGCGGATTTAGATTTACCCTTGTCCGTCCGTCCGTTCTCATGTTGAGTCTCATGTAGCCATAAAAGAACTTGTTGTAGAGACAACAAAATTTACAGAAGTTGTGCACCTGGAGTTTCACGTGTGGATTGATTGTGTTTTGTTAAAGTTGTTGAAAATGACTGAGTACAAATTGTCAATTTTTGTCGCCCGTAGCTCAAAAGAATTTGACCTAGAATCATGAATGTTTTTAGGAATGTTTTTTCAGCATGCATGTTTAGTTGTACACCTTAGGGTTTTGAGTTTGCTTTTTAAGCTACGTATGACACAACTTGAAAATTGCATTTTTACTCAGTTAAAGGCAGTTACTCTAACAAAACAGAATGAATCAACAAACAAAACCACATGTGCACAACTTCACATGCTGATCAACATTTTTGTAAAGTGTCATGAATCTAGGTCAGATACGTTTAAATTGTTTAACTAATTGAAGGGCAAATTAACGTTACAACTACTGAATAAATATGGTACATTTTGTAATTAGTCTAAAACTGTTAACAAAATAAAGAAAACAATAAAAACACGTTGCATATTCTGAAATCTCCAAAGAGGGGACATCCCCTTCTTTAGCCAAAAATCAGTGTAAAATATGATAAACAAGATCAACAAGGAAAGGCGGCGTTCAATGAACGCAACCCCTTTATGACCCAGCCACAAGAACCAGTGGCAAGGAGCCCAGGCGGACCCCAAACAAAAACAGAAAAAGTGCAAAGACAGAGCACGGACAGGTTAATCATTAAATGATAAATAATGTGAAACTGATTAGGAATTCAAAGAAAAGAATTTGTTTGTTTCTTTGTTTCATTTTACGCATTTTTCAACAGTATTTCAGTCATATGGGCGGGTAGTTTCCTTACCATCGTTCCTGGAGAGTTACATCAGTACTAGACAACCTTCCTCCGCACTAAACTACCAAAGCATCTCCCGGGGATCGAACCCACGCCAGAGAGGTAACTGTATTAGAAGTCATCGACTCTTACCCTTCGACCACGGAGGCGGTAAAGAATAATAGGCCCACGAAGGGGAAGGGAACAGGAGACCGGGGGAAGGGGGGGGGGTTAATCAAAGAAATAAAAACTAGAGGCAATGGGGAAGACAACGGTCAGCAGCATAATAATGACTGCTTGCGAGTTTAAACCGGTTAATGGTGTACCAAACCTCGCTCTTAGCCAAAACCTCGCTCTTAGCCCAACCATGTTCCTATAAACGAGACAGTGTAAATAAAATGAATCCCCGCCAAGTGAAATTCTAACAGTTGTCATGGTTACAAAAGGTTAAATAAGTTAAACACTAAAATGATCATGTAAAACATATAAAAAGTAAACCCAATGACCATAACAAAAGTACTCAATGTCCTAAACGAAGACAGAGCAACAAGAAAGTCACCTACAAGGGCCCGACGAAGCAAGGCAGAAGACGAACATTAAGACAATTCAGTCCCAAAGGGCTTTACGAACTATCCATCATAAAGTCTCTCACTTGGTCCGTCAGATGTAATCAAAAGAGGAAAGCGTAGTGTCCAACTGTAAAAGGGTTGAACACTAAACATGCAGTATGTCTTTAAATAGAAGGTTCATAACCTCTTTTAATAATTAAAGAATTTAGAAATACAGTGTTGCAAAATGGTGATGTGTTACATGATGGCTTTAATATTTTTTCAGTATTTTACAATTTACTTGGCTAGATAGTTTTTGGAAAACTTTAAAAAGAATGAGACAATAATTTATATATGTACAGGTAACTAAAGTCACGTGGGTTAGCCCTTGGTATCATAGATCAGATACTCTGTTCCACTGGCCTCATCCAAACACAGTTGTTCTTCTTCCCAGCAAAGATTCCAACATTTTATTCCCGTCCTCATACCTAAATATTGAGTGAAAATGTACCACATAGGGTGATTTAAGGCTCTTGTGTTGCTTGTACCTAAGGTTTTGAATAATACATTTTATTTAATGTAGAATAATCAAGGATTTCTGCTTCCTTTGGCTTGTTCCCCAAACCAATGCTTTTTAGCTGTTGCATTATTTTTTGTAAACACTGCCCTAGCTTTGGAGTATTCAATATCCCTAAATATTGACATTCTACAGCATTCTTCAAATAACGGTCAATGGAATCTATGAATCTTCTTAAGGTTGATGGCTCATACTAGTTCCTATTCTTTTTGGTTACTCACATAGAAGGGTGTTCAAGATATCTAGGCGAATGAATTCAGGCTTTCTGATTTCGTTCTTAAACATGAGAAATGATAAAAACAACATCATATCACTATCTGTCTTTCTTTTAATGTTTTTTAGTTTTATTCCTTTCAAGAAATCTGGATCTACAGATCTGAAGTTTTTATCAGCTACTTGAAAGTCCATGTACTCTTCAGTATCTTAAAATTTACAGAATGTGTCTAAAAACACCATCATCTCGATCTTTTTGGTTATTTTCCATGTCAAATAAATCATCAGATACTAGCCTGAACAATTCTTCAATCTCATGCAATATTCTGTTTTCCCCAAGATGATTAAGTGTAGCAGAAACCTTTTTATTAGCTCACCTGTCACAAAGTGACATGATGAGCCTTTTTGATTGCTTTTCGTTCGTCGTCCGTCCGTCCGTAAACTTTTACTTTGAACAACATCTCCAAACAAACCACTTAGCCAATTTCATCCAAACTTCATAGGAATGTTCCTTTGGTAGTCAACTTTAAAAATTGTTCAAAGCATTTAATTCCAAGCAGAACTCTGGTTGCCATGGCAACCGAAAGAAAAAAATAAAATATATTCTTTTAGAAAACCGCAAGAGCTAAAGCTTAAATATTTAGCATGAAACATCAACTATTCAGTGTCTTCTATCTTCTAATGGCTGTCTACCAAGTTTGTTCAAATAAAAGTCCCTGGTTAAAATTGGCATTGGCCCAGGGGCCTATATACAGGTGAGCAATTTCAGAGCCATCATGGTCCTCTTGTTTTTATTTGTTGTTGTTGTTGTTGTTGTTGTTGTTGTGTTCACATACATGTATATTGTTTGGAAATAACTGTGTTTCTTTGTAATATGGGTGCAATGAGGGTAAAAAGTAGTCCGGCTACGGTGAAAATTATATTTTTAGCTCACCTGTCACAAAGTGACAGGTTGAGCTATTGTTATCGCTCTTCGTCAGGCGTCCGTTATGCTTCCATCGGTCTGTAAACTTTTACTTTAAATGACATCTCCTCATAAACCACTATGTCAATTTCATCCAAACTTCACAGGAATGTTCCTTCGGTGGTCACCTTTAAAAATCGTTCAAATAATTTAATTTCATACAGAACTCTGGCTGCCATGGCAACCGAAAGAAAAACCTTTAAATATCTTTTTCAAAAAAACCCAAAGAGCTAGAGCTTAGATATTTTAAATATCTTCTTGTGAGTGTCTACCGAGTTTGTTCAAAAACAAAAACCTTGGGTCAAAATTGTTCAAATAAAAGCCCTGAGGTCAAAATTGGCTCCGCCCAAGGAGGTCATTGATTTTCCATATACGCATATAGTAAAAACTTAAAAAAATCTTCTTTTAAAGAACTCAAAGAGCTAGAGCTAAGATATTTAGCATGAAACATGTTCTAATGGGTGCC